GGCACCAGCGGGACTGGGACCACCACTTACCCCTCAACCTCTGGGCGTACCGGACCGCTGTCCAGGAGTCCACTGGGTGCACCCCGGCCTCGCTCATGCTGGGCTGGGAGCTGCGCACCCCGGTGGAATTGGCATTCGGTTCGCTGCCAGGAGGAGTGCTGGCACAGCCAGCCGGGTCGGATTATGAGTGGGACCTGCAGCAGTGGATGCTGCGAGTAAACAACTTTGCCCAAAACCGCCTGACTCAGGCGGGGGAACGGCAGAGGCGCTACTACGATCTGCGCTGCAGGGGGACCCCTTTAAGACCGAGGGGATCTCATCTGGGTCTACAACCCGCGGCGCCACAAAGGCTTCAGCCCGAAGCTGGCGCAAACATGGGAGGGACCCAGGGAGGCCCTGGAGGTTGTGGGGGAGGTCTGCTACCGCAGAGGGCACAGAGGAGAAGCCAAGTCCAGATATCACCAGGCTGGGGGGGGACTGAGGTGGCAGACTGCCAGACTCCACCTCGACACAGCGGGCGCACTCGCCGGGTGCCGCAGAGGCTGCAGGATTGTGTGCTGGACGTAAGCAGGCTATTCAACGTCAGCGGGATGCCAGACGTCTCAGGTGGGGGCAGTGTAGCGCGTTTGCCCCAGGCAGCGGCCGAAGAGCGCCCAGCTAGGGTATGTGGTGAGGGGAAGGACAGGGGTGGAAGTGGTCAGGGCGTGGTTTAGGAAGGCCGCTGACCAGTGCAGCTGTCCCACAGTGAAACGGGTGTACAGTCTGGGGAGATCGCCTGTTTTCCATGTAAATAGTTCCCTGGTTTCGCACCCCTGGGTGTTACTCTCTCTCTCTCTCTCTCTCTCTCTCTTTCTCTCTCGCGAGGGTTGGCTGGCACTCTTGGCAGGCTGGTGGTGTGTCTCTCTGGGTGGCGTGGGAGAGCTGGCTGGCAGGTGGTGACGGAGAAGAAATAAAGCGCAGTTTTCAAACTACACAAGTCTGAGTCTCTCTGTTCATCCTTACCGAACCCGAAATCATTACACTATCATCAAACCAAAGCCATTTGGCGACGTTGCTCTTCATCCTCCTTCTGCAAGGACCAGCGTAGGTTTAGAACTCCAGTTGCCTCTTTGGTTTGGGCCCAGTGTTTGTCCACTGGAATGGGTGCCTCATCAGGATGGAGAACCACAGCCTGACAAAGTACTGGTACTTGCGGCTGATAGGCTTCCACAGTGCACGACAGACGTTGCAGAAGAAGATGCAATTGAGTTTCAGGGGGAAATGTGACACGTCTCTCCCCCCTTCCTCGACTGGCTGGCACATCCGGTTCCTCATGATGTACCCTTGCCTGCCACACCAGACAAACTTGAAGACCATCCCTTGCAGAAATCGTCTTGAGTCTGGCCAGCAGCAGGTACTCCACAGCCAGGTAAACCAAAGCCAAAAGGATGTCTGCTTTCAACACCATCACTTTGCCTGTGAGGGACAATGACCGCATTTTCCACAGACCCAGCTTCGCGTTCACCTTGGCAATTCTCTCGGTCCAGTTGATGGTCTTATTTTCCTGGCTCTGGAGCGGCAATATCTTGAGGGGCCCCATGCAGAGTTCAAGACCTTCTGGCACCATCATCCTGTCCTTCCAGGATCTGAAGATCTTCAGTTTGCTCTTCCGGTGGTTGAGCTTCAACCCCAAGGCCCTGGAGTATTGCTCCATGACCTGCAGGGCTCTCTTCAGTTCCTTGTCCAAACTCAGGAACAGCTTTGTGTCATCTACATACTGGGAGATCTTCAGGGTTTCCCCTGCTCCTCCTGGTATTGCCAGGCCATCAATGACAGGGTCCTGTCTCACCGCCTCTGCTAACAGCTCACCATCATAGGCACAAGCGCTTTATTGTCAGATGTGCACCCAGCACAATAGCAGCAGCAAGAACAGGGCCTAACGCTGGCTAAAGCACAAAAGGGTTATTCAGGGTACAGGTACATGAATATAAGGTGGAATATGGGTACAGGAATAAAGGGGTAAATACCAGGCATACTGTAACTATTCACACACTGATTGACAGTACTCACTATGTACATCGCACCTGATGGCCAGCTGCACTGGCCAGTGACCCTTAATCCTCGTGCTGGCTACTACTCTCATCCTGCCCTTCGCCACATACATTACCTTGAACTTGAACTTTATTGCCATATGTAACCGGTACATGTACCGCTACAATGGAATTCTTACTTACAGAAAGTCTCTTGATTGTTAAAAAAGTGAAAAACACAAAGTGCAGACAGTGCATCTGTCACGCCCCACACTCTCCCTCGCAAACGCCGTTCTATTCCTGTCACGCCCCACACTCTCCCTCGCAAACGCCGTCGCATTCCCAATCCCACTGTTTCACAATCTTATTTCTAATTGATTCCTAATTCCTAATCTTACTGACGTGAGAGGAAGGGTGGAGCTACCCAAGGTATGACCCATCTTATTTACCCATGATTGTGTCACCAGGCATAACTCAAACTCTATCATTAAGTTTGCGGACGATACAACAGTCATCATGACAGTTAGTGAAGAGTTAGTGACAGTTGGTGAAGAGTCTGTGTACAGGGAGGAGGTTGAAACCCTGGCAGCTTGGTGCCAGGACAACAACCTCTTTCTGAACTTCAGTAAGACTAACGAGATGATTGTGGACTATAGGAAACACCAGGGAGGAGATCACACACCTCTTTACATCAATGGAACTTCAGTGGAGAGGGTCACCAGTTTTAAGTTCCTGGGAGTTAACATCACAGAGGACTTAACCTTGACGCACCATTCCAACTTGTGCTAAAAACAGCATGGCAGCGCCTTTTCTTTCTCTGTAGGCTAAAGACGTTTGGCATGCCATCACATATCAGGCCAACTTCTACAGGTGCACTATTGAGAGCATCCTGACCGGTTGCATCACTACATGGTATGGGAACTGCTCTGCCCGGGCTGCAAAGTACTGCAGGGAGTGGTAAAGTCAGTGCAGCTCATTACTGGCTGTGAGCTACCAAACATCCAGGATATCTACTCATCTAAATGACTTAAGAAGTCCAGGTCCATTCTCAAAGACCCCAGTCATCCCAGTCACAAACTGTTTTCTCTCCTACTGTCCGGTAAATGGTATCGAAGCATTCAGTCAAAGACTACAAAGACAGATTACAGAACAGCTTCTACCTCAAGGCAATAAGGCTGCTAAATAGCCAATAATAATAATAATAATTGCATACACTTATATAGCGCTTTTCTGGACACCCCACTCAAAGTGCTTTACAGGTAATGGGGACTCCCCTCCACCACCACCAAAACCAGCCAAGCTGCAGTTCCTTCAGCAAATCACCCATAATGGCTACATGGACATACAGTTTTCATCGTATTTGGTATACTGCACTACTTGGACATAATATATTGTACACACCCTAGACACATTGCAGCTCTATTTATATTAAGCTCTGTCTGAGTTTATTTTATTCAATTTCTATTGCACTATTATGTATTATTATGTAACCTTATTTTGACATCTTAATTTTGTAATTTTTACCCCCCGGTGAGCTCGCAAAAAAGACATTTCATTGCCAGCAACTACTGCTGCACGCTGTTGTGCATTTAATAATTAAACTTTGATTGACTGATTGATTGATTGAAGTCTCTCTCTCCCCTATTGTGGCACAGATATAGAGGGAGATATTTATTTGCATCTTAAATACACAGACAGCAGCCTAGCTCTCAAATAAAAAAATATAATATATAGTATATAATAAATGTACATTTTCCTTTTTTGTTATTCTGTATTTGTGAAAAGAAAATAAAGTTTTTAAAAATTGAAAATAATGCGATAACAAATTCTCCTTTTACAGCGATGACCTTGAAATTGTCCGTTTACATAGGACGTTCAATAGAAAAGTCTCGATAAAGTAACTTGCTTAAGAATATAAATAGTAGTACTCCACCTGGTATTTAAACCCACAACCCTCTAGTTCCAAGTCTAAACAGTGAAGCATTGTTTTGTAATATACGCAGAAAGTTTCGAACCACCTCACAACGACTTATTTGTTAATGTAATGCACTTTCTAATGGTACTGCTTTACCTTTTAAAAGCAGGGTATTTAGATTTAAAGCCCCAGTTTGAAAGTTCGCGTAATGATGACGCGATAAACGAGCGACAATTCCTATCTTACTCCACGTGAGGAAGACATGGCCCTGCTGGAAGTACGCAAAGAATATCTAGTTGTAAGCAGTGGAAGTAAATTTATTGCCGTTAAAACTGAAGAGATCAGGTTGGTGGAATTTAGTCCTCCTGTTTTACATTGAGATTATTATTAGAATGCTTTTTTTTCTTCCGGTTGATGTTTTTGATTTTATTTCAGGAGATTGCATTAAACTGAACTGGAGTCTTAGTGAACGTAAGATACAGGTGATTTTAGTTGTTTTTATTGGATATAATAGTAACAATACTGTATTGTTAAGAAGAAAACTAACCTTAGTTCACAATTTGTTCTTGTGGAATTACGTTATTAACAGTGAACGAAATATCTGTTGAGCTGCGTTGTTTTGGGCAGAATGACAGTAATGTAACTTAGAAGTTTTCATTCATTTCACATTAGTGTCGATATTATACCGTAACTATAAAACTCTCAGTATATTCTATATTTCTTTAAATCTTTTAAAATTCTATTTGCTGCATTAATAAAGACGCGGATAACTGATCTTTTTCGAAAAGGTCTTCACGAAATTAGTTGTTTTGAGAATACAAAATATAAGGACGTGCACTGCAGTACAAAACTCAAATTTCAGATCCTTGTGGCTTTAATGTTTCAGATTTTTTCTATAAAAAATCTGAATTGTCTTGAAAATACAAATTGTTCATACATTTACAGATTAAAACGTACCATCAATATGCAATCAAAATAATATGCAATCAAGATCATTTAACATTTGCCTAACAATTTATTTTGACTTGGTCTTTATTATACACTGTTCCTCTAAGTATGAAGAATTGTGAATCAAGGGAGTTTTATTCAACAAGTTTCAAAGGCCTTAAATATGCCCAGTTGAGTAATTGTGTTTTTGCATATTAAGTTGCAGGAAAACGAATAGGTCCCTGTACCTCCATAAACTGTGTAATTTACAACTTTATAGTGTGCAGTGCAAGTTATACATTAAATACACAGCTGTTTGTTTGCAATATTCAAGGTAAATATGGACTCTATTTTTTAAAATTTATAGTACATGCTGTATATATATCACACTTAAAAATCAGTTTTCAAGTGGCGGGTAATAAAAGGTAAAACCATTAAATATAAAAAAAATATTAGAATCAAGTAAAATAGATCTCACAGTACTCATAGGATTGCCATGTCCTGAACTGCAGTGCTTCACATGAATTGTTTTTCTATGTGTTTCAGGGAGCCGTTTGTGTATGACTGCACTAAAGCAGAAAACAAACCAGAGGAGAGTGGAAATAAAGGGTAATTTTCTCTTTACTCTTTGCAGCATTGCTCAGTGAAAGTCAAATGCAGTTATACAGTTATGTTATGTTTATGTTAGTGAGCCAACATAGACTTCAGATCTTATTACAGCCATGAACATCTTGGACTAACTGATATGGTCAGTGAAGGCATTAACTTACTTTTTAAGAGAGGTAGCAATAGTCTTATCTGTCTTTCATTTTCAAACAACATTATTCATTATGTAGTAGATTCACTTTCCTATTCCATCTTATTTTCTTAATATCGCATGTCCAAGTGGATGTCTAGAATTGATTTTAGATAGATAGATAATACTTTATTAATCCTGTAGGGAAATTGATGTGTTACAGCAGTCCAGCCCAGGACAAGCAAAACAGACATCAGAATAGTTATAAAAGAAAAGACAACAAAATAAATAAAAATAAATAAATACATAGGTGTGTGCAAAATGTGATGATCATAGCCACTGTAAAAACAATATGTGCAAAATGTGCATAGGTTTATACAGACTGATAAGACAGGATTTTATGAGTTATTCCGAATTATTAACACTTTTTAAAATATTGTAAGCAGGTGTTATATTGAGATCTAACAATTGTGTGCTGCCCTTGGAAGTATACAATATGTCCACATGATTAATGAATGATTAGGAACATTATGTCGGGAATTTACACATGAATGGAGCAGTATATATACTATCACAAAGTATCAGTGAAACTAATTTTGTATTCATTTAATTCCCAAACAATTAAGAAAATGTGGGAAAACTAATCTAAATCAGATCTTAGTTATGTGTTCTTGCATTTGTGACTGTGGGTGCAACAATCCCGGAAATGTGCATGGAAACCCTGGACATTGACATTTCTGCCCTCAGAATCCTTCCTGACAGCAATCAGAACAGCTGCAGTTCACATCCCTTGCACATGAGTACTATATCTAATTAGAGGATCTCCAGGACCCAGATTGCTGCATAGACACTTGAATGCCACTGTGGTGAGATCACATCAGTAAAACTGTGACTCTAGGATGAAGGCATCAAAGCCTAAGATACAAAAGCCAGCTTGATGCTGTATAAATGGCACGAGGCTCCGTGTCATATCAGAACACAAAGCTGTGGAAACTGGCCGAATGCAAGCTGATGACGCATTGTGTTCAAGAATGGGTCATGGATCTCTTCTGGCACAATGGTAGGCAGAGAGTGTACCACAGCCATTCAGAGAATTACCACCCACATTTGGAGATGGAAGTGTGATGGTATGGGCTGTAATACAGTATGGATGCAGATCTGTTAATGTTTAGTAATTGCTCCTTGACTGATCTGTGCTATAGAGAAAATGTTGAAACCCTACACATTGAAGCTTACTTTGAGCAAAATTATGTCATCACATTTTGCAAGGCAATGCACAGCCACATGTTGCGTACATTTGTCAGACTTTCCTGTGTGCCACATGGTAGTGATGGACTGTTCATCCAGTGTTAACCCAGTAAATCACTGGATCAGTGTGCATGCCATCAGAATACACAACCTTGTACACTTGTTGAGCTGTGTACAGTACTTCCTTTAGAGTGGAATAGGATTTCCTATTGGCATGTTAAATAGCATTACAAATAGCAAATGGGAGACACAAGATACTGAACTTGTTCATTATAAAACTGGATACCCAGTCCATGCTTTTTTGTGATGAAAACATGAATCAATTTGTTTGTTTAGTAAAGCTCACTAGCACACACTAAACTCATTTCCTACATTTTTAATGTGTCTTAGAATATCTCATATGAGAGTACTCTGAATTGATGTGCGAAACAACACGTACATCTGTCTAGTTTTACAGCTAAATTTACACAGTCAGGACACACTGAGCTGCTGTCACACTTAGAATCCTTATTCACCAGTCTGTAATCTGTATAAATGTCTGTATAAAATAGGAGGCTGTTCAGTGATGCAAAGATATATCTGAATCTAGGTGAATATAGTATAGACTGCTGCCATGTACTAGACAGTGTAGTCTGGTAAGTTAACTATAACTATCTGCTGTGTGAAAACGTTTTTATTTATTTAAGAGATGAGGTTGGAGCTGAAGAAAAAGGAAGTGACAGAATTTTGGCCATGGCTTTCTCTGCCTCAGGAGAGTACTTTGCTCTCACAGATGACAGCAAACGTCTCGTCCTGTTCCGCACCAAGCCAGTCTGGGAGTGTCTTAGCACCAGGTAGTGTAATAGAGCCGGGGTTCTCAAACCTTGTCTGGGGGACCCCTGTGTCTGCTGGTTCTCATTCCAGCTGTGCTCTGATTCTTCAGTGTTAATTGTTGCCTTTCATTTATCTTCTTGCTTGTTTAGGTGTTTGCTTTACTTCTTTCTGCATTCACTACTAAGTTTTGAAAATACCCTACTTCAAACTATTTTTCTAACACCTTTAACCATACAGATCTTCATGCAGTCGCTTTTAAACCTGCTTACCCTTATTTCTGATTAAACAGCTCTTAATAAGAAAGGAATTTATGATGTCGGGGATGAAAATGTATTTAACATCCCACAATGAGCATTTTTTTTTCTACTTCAGAGGTCAAACTTAAGTTATTTCAAGTAAAGCAGCTGAATGAGAGGAGTTTTGAAACTCAGAAATTTGTTACAGGGTTAATACTAATTGCAAATCGTTTTCAATGTTTAAAGAGCTAAAAGCTAATTTCAAAGTATTGCTTATACAGAAAACCAAAGTCAGTTAGCCTGTGATTAAGAATTCAGTCATAGCACACACAAGAAGATGCAACAGAACACCATGACAAGGACTGGGAACCACTGTATTAATAGGACTGTACGCCACTAGGGATGGAGAGAGAGTCCATACTAACACCGCATTTCCAAAATGCCCTTAGACATTCTCACTTTTTGGGCAATTTTTATTTCTTTATTTGGTTGATTGCAGTATTATAGTAGTTACACTTACATTAAAATCCTGTTTGCTGCTGTCCTGCATGTGGTAAAGATAATATTGATGTCTTGAAGGGTCCACAGCTGTTTTTAGTCAGCAAAATACTCTGCTGTTGACCATCAAACTTGGCTCTAGTGACCAGGATTAAGTGCACATTCACCAGCATGTTTTGGAGAAATGTCCAGAAATTAGGTTATGAATTTGATAATATTGACATCAGTGTATAATTTAAAATATTTTTACAGCCCACATCTAAATAGATTAAAACAAAGCTATTGGACTGTTTGAAAGGTAGTAGGTATATTGTTTGGAGATTTGGAAGCCATGCCTGTCTTAAGATATGCAGCTCTTCTTTTCCTGGATTTGATCAAAGCCGCTCATAGGCTCAGAGCAGAGTGCCTCTCCCTCCACAGCAACAAACTGCATTGCCAAAAAGTCTGGCTTTCTGCAGCAGGAGAATTCTACACTATTTGGGTTTCAAGGGAGTGACATCACATCCTGTAAATGGCACGGTGCCACTGAGCTATGCTATACCAGCAGACTGATTAACAGCTTTCCTTTCACATGTGCCCCATGCAGTAGAATGTTATACAGCTAGGTGTTCAGTCGAAAAAGTTAAGAACACTTTAATATTATGTTATACCGGTTCAGTGTTCTATAAGAGATACCTCCTTGGGTTGACGTATTATATGACATTCATATGGTAGCATTTCACTTTCCTGGCTGGCTGTGAAGAAGTCGTTAAGAGTCTACCATTTTTATCCATATTTATTCATTTAAGGAAAATTGGTAACCCACTCATCCAGGTCTTGAGTGTCATAACTCTGGCTGTCATAATATTGTCACTTTTAAAAGTGGCATATTCTTGCAGTATGGTCAAAAGGCCTTTCAAGACTGAGGTTGAAACAAAGTTATTTTCTCCTTTGTGATATCAAGTAAAACTGTTATTAATTAAAAGGGACAGAACTGCAACAGCACCCATCTTTATTTGTCTTAGACATTTTTGCCATCTGTACCAAAATATGCTAGAGCACAGAAGAAAGACTAGTCAGGGCGCTCAATGCGGAAAACCATCTGTGTACAATTACACATCAAACCATCTACGTGAAATAAATAGTGCAGAAGGCCAATAGAATCACTGACTGTCATGACCATCTCTTGTACGGTGAAAATCAGCTCCTTCCATCAGGGCGTTATTTAGACTACCCAGATTCAAATGCAGTAGATCCAAGTTATCTTTTATTCTCATGGCAAATAATCTGCTAAATCTGGACAGTTGATTTTGTATACATATTTTCTTTCTCTTTTTCAAAAAACATTTTTGGAACCTGAATGGAGAGTTTGGTGAAGTGACCATAATTTTTTGTCTGTGTCTATAAGTTACTCAGAGACACAAACACATAAAGCAAGACATAGTTTAGGTAACAACTGGAAAGTGGTTGCAGGATTACAGGATGGTTACTGAAGAGCAAGTTTGTAGAACAACCACCAAGTTGTCCAAAAGGTCCTGGTGTAAATGGATTGTGGTTTACAGGACAGAGAGGTTTGCAGGTGCAGTAACTGAATAAGGTAAGCTTGAGGAGATGAAACGTGATCAGAGATGATGCCATCCTAATGCTACTGTTACCATGAGATTACTCATGTAGGTTCATGGACTAGATTATTTGGGATCATCATGTGTGAATTTAAGGTGTATTTTGCTGGAATAGTTTGTTAGCTAGTAACATTTATTCATGTTAGAGTGCTACATGTGGTTCTTTCTCTATATATTTAATCAACTGTTCAGTTTTCTGGAGCTGGATAATAACCTGGACTTTCTGAGCAGGTGGGTAGTTCGGAGGTGTACTTCTCTGACAATGACCAAAGCAGAAGACCAGATCCTTGTGGCAGATAAATCCGGAGATGTGTATTCATTCTCATTGTTGGAGCCCCAGAAGCCAGCTGAGCTTAAACTGGGCCATCTCTCTATGTTGCTGGCAGTGGTAAGTAACAACATTTACCAGATGTGATTAGTCACTGGGTCTACTGCTTCTGCTCAAGTTATTTTTAAAAAATTGACTCCTTTCAAATTACAAACCTAACTTATAGAACTTCTATTAGAACTTTATTTGAGAAACAGCTTGTGTGCTAGTAAATGACAATTTAACATTTTGCACATCTATTAACTATTAGTGACAAAAGGTAGAGAGTACCTAGCTAAGTCTTATGCAATGGTTATAACTAGTTAAGTGCCTATATATCGCTGATAAGGACCTATTCCTTGCCTACTGGTTACAAAAAATGTTACGTGTGTTCTGTTACAAGGTCAGAAATGAAGGTGTAATAGATCTGTTTCTTGATAAGTATAAAGGATAGTCTTTTATTGCTCTTTATTTCTATTTTTTAATCACAGAATCATAGTTATAACAGTTTTTTTCTGTCAAAGTGAATCATTCCTTGCTGCATTACAAGCTCTTCATTACCTTACAGTAATCCTAGTACTGATGAAGGAGCAAAGTATTCCTCCCTGACATCACTGCTGCGTGTAGTTGTGCTATAAGTCCATGTCCACTTCTAGTGAACAGTTTCACAGGAGCCCTAGCTGTCTAAATCCATCCCTACACTGATTAGTCATTGACATCTGGGCCATTGGTCTCAACCTGCGCTATGTGATTTCTCTAGTATAGTCTCTTTAAAATAAAAGTCTGTTTAAATAAATCTTGCATTCAGTTGGTAAGATGAGGGCTTTTGAAACTTTTTTTGAAGAGAACACTAATACTGCTGTGTTTAAGTCATTTCTCATACTTTTTCTGCCCCAGTGTTTTAAATTAAGTTACTCTTTCACACATACATTATCTTTTAATCATACATTCTTATAATTCATACAATCTTCAGTGTTGGGGGACAGCCGTGATTTTTACTCCAGCACACAGCATCCCAGCTGGGAAATACAAACAGTGAAAGGTTTGGGCAGTAAAATGGTAACACGTTTTACTTGAAATGTTTCTGACTCTTATGTGTTCTCCCTTATCCAAGGCAATTAGTCCTGATGACAGGTACATCATAACAGCAGACCGAGATGAGAAGATCAGAGTCAGTTTTCTGAAGTCACCCTACAACATCCAGTCTTTTTGCCTGGGACACAAAGAGTGAGTCCCAAGCACTGGGTTGTGTTTGCATCTGGCATTAAATGAGCTACATATCCAGAAGAATTTGTAATTCCAGTTTTAGCATTTTTCAGACTGCATAACTCCCTTTTTAAACTTAATGATTTTCAGGTGATCTATGTGAAGATATGAAGTAATATTTGTCAGCAGATCTCTTTTGGTAACTGGCAAAAGTGACAAGTGGTAAATTAGTCAAGTGTAGGAAAGCCATATTGATGAAACATGTTCAAGGATGAGCTTGGCACTCAATCTATCAACTCTCTCAGATAATAGAAAAGGCCAAACAATCAGCTTCTCAATAAATACATAAAATAGATTATATTAAATTAAGTTTTCAGTCATGTCATGTGTACAAAAAATAAATGCTGCAATCTGCAAGTCTATTGTAATTAAACCAAAATAATTCAAATTTGGTCACAGACTAATACATTGCTAAGTTTTGTGTTATAGTCGTAACAGATAGGAAACAAGAATAAAATGAGGACAGGAGGAATTACTGTAAACAACAGAGAATATTAAATTCAGCAAAGAAGGATGCAGAAGGAAACCAAGTACATAAGTGTTTCAAAGAGAAAGCAGAATTCACGATGAATTGCTGAACCACATGAACAATTACATAGGATCCTTCAAATGCAAAAGATCCCAAACAACAACCTCTTTGGTTGTCATGTCCTGTCAGTGCAAATACAGACAGGACACTGACATAGACATTGTAGACAGGATTCTTAGTGCCTCTTTGTAGTAGAATGAGTATAGTGAGCTTTTCACTGGAGAATTTAGATCCATGTCCTGCCAACTACCTGGTGATCCATTGAGGATATTTGAATTCACAGCAGGTTGGATGCTGTTCTTCCTGTGACCAGCCTATCTTATTTTGCAATGGTTGACATGAGTTAAACTGTGTTCACTCTTAGGGAGTTATACTGCAATGATCATGGCTACAAAGTCCATCCAGAACAGAACTGATTAGCCCCACACTGCCTATTGTCTTAAGTAAGGATCAAGAAATTCTTATGTTTACTTTCTAAGTTCATTTGATTTTTTTGCAGGTTTGTCAGCTCTCTGTTTGTGCTGCCTTACCAACCTTACTGGCTTCTGTCGGGCTCTGGGGTAAGAACATAAGGCCTTTTTATTGACAGTCATGTTCCCTCTAGTCTTGGACTTCTGTGGGTGATGCTACCAATATATACTATCTTGCCTTCGTTGGTGTTCTGTTTTAACTGAGGTGATTCCTCTCGATTAAACCCCTTATGCTTTCTGTTGTTTGATTCCTGTGCTTCTGCTTAGTCAGTCTTCTGCAGAAAATCAGCAGGTCTGGGTTAGTACAATGGCATGAAAGACCCTAAGAGGCAGTTCATTCTTTAGGTTGGACACCCAAGCCACTCACTTATATTAGGGTGCTTGGGCCACCATAATAAAAGCAGCCAATCTAACATGAAGCACTGATTTTTTTTTTTATTTAATCTTTCTTTTGTTCTTTCTGTTACATCAGGTTTAATGGTAATCAATGCAATTCCATTTCAGATATGTGTAAATCCCTTCCATGTATGTAACTTGATTTTATAGATTTTTAAAAGCATTTCAATGATGATAGTATTCCATATGATCATAAACCTCTTTAATGGAAGGAACATTTATTGTGTAGTATCTTCTGCTGATTTGTATCTTTGAAAAAGTAGCCCTTTCCAAAACGCAGATCAGTCAGCTGGAGGTCGAGAAAAGGAGCAGTGAAGCAGATAAAGTGCTAATGCCAAAACCCTACAACATCTGTCTACAACATATGATGAAAGTATGTCAGATGCTGTGTTGTGACTCCACTAATCTTGGCTAAATTCTGAGAAAACCCCTTTAACTGAGCATTAAAGCATTAAGTAAAAGTAGTGCAGTTGAGAAATGGGCATGCATTAGAGTGGCTTTGGAGAATCTGTCTCATTTGACTGCTGTTGTTAACAGGATGGGACTCTGAGACTTTGGGAGTTTGAGTTTGGCAAGGAGCTGCAGAGCTATGACCTCAGAGAGCTGAATGGTACAAAATCTCCACAGAAAGACAAGGTGAGACAAGATAAGTCCATCATCAATAATTATTCTGTTGCCACTTACTGACACTTTAACCGAAGAGACCTACAAAAACCTAAGAGTTAAATGTGACATCCTTAGCTATTGTGTTTACCGTGAAATGCCTAGTGACTGCCAGTTGTGATAAAACTATCCCACGTTAGCAAACTTGCTTTCCTACAACATATTCATTTTATGCTGCTAACAGAAAATGAAAACAGGAACTGTAGAACTATAGTGAGATCACTTTATCTACCTATGTGCTCTATTCATTAAAAGAACTTGATTCAGTGTATTTTTTAAATGTACACTCAGAGGAATGTTGCAATATCTTTCTTGCCTCCACCAAACGCTAGGCTAGTCACTTCTGTCTCAGCCCTGCTCATTGTCATATTTGAAGAGCAAGGTTTATCTCAGACCAGACTGAGCAGGGGACTTCAATATTACCTTGGCCACTTATTCAGCTGCAAACTGTGAGCCTGACTGTTAGCTGGGTATCATATTCCTTTGAAACACGTAGACTACAAAACCCTGTCTTATCTCTCCTATTTAAAACCAAAATATTGTTTTCTCTCGTTGCAGAAATTTAGCTTAGTAACTGAGCATTTCTGCTACCAACAAGAGTGAGAACAGCAACAATTCAGTTTCCCAGCCCAGTACGTACTACTGCCATATTATTTTAATAATCTCTTTCAGTATTATTGTTTTGTCTTTGTTAGAAGTTTGCAGTCTCCAGAATTGCCAGTTCGCCCCAAGGAGATTACATTGCTGTTTTGTGTGACAGGTATATTTTTTAATATAATATAAAACTGGAAATTACATGCAGGCAGATGCCAATTGGTCAGATGATATAAAACAATTTATCAAATATTTTATTTGAAAGATGAAATTTAGAATGTTTTGGTGTAAAAAATGAAGTCTTTGTCAGATAATATTTAACCTAGACACTTGCAGAGTACTACATGTAGTTAGTAGCAACATGATGTTTACATGGAAAAATTAGACTTTCTGTAAGTCCAAGACTTGAGAGTCAGGATTAAACCAAACAGACAGTCATCATATATCAAAGGAGTTCTGATTTCAACTCAAAGGAAATAAGTGCCTCCTAGGTGTACCTGCTGGTAATTTCTGTTCATCCCCCCTTGGGTTCCTGTTGATTTTGTAGTAATCCCTAGAGTACTAGAAGACTCTGCATATTTAATTGTGTTTTCATGGCAGTTTTCCAACAGTGCACATCTTCCGAGTGGATTTCAATGCCCAGAGACTGATGCACCAGGAGCAGCTTGATCTGGCACACAGCTCCTGGGATGTGGCTTTTGATCAGTTAGGCCGACTATGGGTCCTTCAGCAGAGCAAGGATTGTCCAGTTGCCCTCTACAGACTGACAGGGGACTGTTGGAAGGTACACCTCGCACCCTACTCTTAGTGGAGCAATAAGCCCTTGTATATATACACAATATAAAGAGCATCTAAAGAAATGATCACTCACTGTGTGTGTGTTCAGAAAAAACATTCACATTTTGGATGTTTCTTGAATGTTATTGGCATAATTTTTATTAATCGTGACTGACCATGATACACTTGGGTGACATTTAACTGTTCAGTAAGCACTAAATAAGTTAATAGATATTTTTGATAAGATAAATATGATTAATATTTAACACCAGTTAAATATTGTTAGTTTGAGGTTTAATTATAGAATGTCAAGCCTGTTACATTTAAAAGAGAAATCCAAATCTTATTTTTATATTTTTAGGTTAGAAAGAATCTGTGTTAATTGCATTTCAAATCAGAATGAAAGTAAAGCGTTTATAGTACAATGTACAATCTCCAATTACAGATAATTTTGTTAACTATTACACACTTATAGATGTGATGACCATCTCCTAATCCCGTTCCTGTCATAGTCTGCCACTGCATCAATCTCTGTTTAGTATTATGAATGTGACAAAAGTACAGCTATTACTTGTTACACTAGTCTTCTATCAGAACCAAAACAGTTATTTTTTTTATTCTGCATAGTGTGACACTGAAGATCCAGAGGTGAAGAAGGTAACAAAGATTCTTCATTCACAATGGGACATGTTTCAAGGTAAGAAGTCTGTGGTGATCTACTAGGCAAGAGAAATACTGATTACACATCACTTCTATACTTAGAAATATCAGAATATAAATTAAATGGCACAGTTCTGAGTAGTTCCTTATGAATAGTAGTGGTTCACCATTTATTTGAGAAAAAAATCATTAATTCATAGCAATGTAGCTTCTCAAGGGTTGTTTAGGATAAGCAGTTTTTACTATCAGTACTTGTCATCAGTAATATTAAGTACTGAAATGCTCATAGTTCATCTAATTTGCAACTGTTGGTTTGTTGCTAACTATAATGCCAGCAATTTCATAGTAGATTTACTGTAAGTGATATCATAAAACAGACTGAAGAATCCTATTCATTCAGTTGATCATATGCACCTCTGCCACAATGGGAATTATGGAATTAGACTTAAATGTAAATATTTGCAAACTAGAGGAGGCTATTCGGCACAGATAGTCTAGTTCTTGGAAGCCATTTTTTATAACAGTCTGATCCAACAAGTTCTTGAAGAAACCTTGAAGGTCAGCCTCAACAACATTATTTAATGTTAATTTCAGGCTCTTAGCATTGTATGTAAATACAGGACTGAAAATATGTGCTAAAATTTATAATTCCATTTCTTCAAGTTCTTGTTTTGTTGCTGATTTTGATATTTCATTCATGTTCTGTATTTGTAGTCCATAAGGTTTTAATGAAGTTGCCTCATAATATTCTTTGTTCAGGATAAAGAAAATTGAGCTCCTTTAGCAAGTCTGTGTATGAATTTCTCAGAGACCAAGAGTGTAGTGGTAGCTTAAAAAGTATGCAACAGTATTCCACTTTCTCAAGTGTCTTTAACTCTGTCACTCAGTGTGGTTATTTTGGAAAAGTTTTGATGTGCTCGTTCTGACTATATTAAGTTTTTATACTTTGTTAAAAGCTATAATGTTTTAAACTTTTCTATGAATACGTGCTGGCGCTATTTAATAAAAAAAGTTTACTTTTAGGATCTGCTAAATAGAGAGGAATTGCTTAACAAATGAAATTGATAACGATATTAATTTAAGGATCTAAATATATTATATTTATATGGGTTGTAGTATTACCATATTCCACTTTCTTTGTAAACATCTGCATCAATTGCTTTGAATAATTCACTCATGATTACATTGGAAGCCTGTCTTGTTTAAGTACTGTTTCTAAATGACACTTTGGTACAGTGTAGGAGGTCAGTGTTTTCGATTCCCTGTCAAGGCACACATTTTTCTTTTAAGAAATAAAGACTCATTTTTAAAAACTAAGATAGTAAATATAATGCACATTATATTGACATTTTATTTTTATATATCACAACATGTTCAATGAATAAATTGAAAAGGTGAATGAGCAAATGTGACTACTGTCAACAGTGGGAGTAAAAAACAGTTCAACCGGTTAAATACCACATCCCAATGCGGCAATTTAAGTAAAGCTGTTACCAGTGGTTCTCAAACTGTGGTACGCCATATGATCCATAGAACTTCGTTGTGTGCGCTGAAAAATTGGGACGGTTTTCATATTTTCTATTTTAATACGTGTCGAATACGCAGCCTACGTACTGCGATACAGTGCGCGCCAATACTTCAGTGGACACAAGAGATACTCTGTAATTCTATACCACTCTATAGGAATGCGTGCTACGGGCGAAGTGACCAATTGCATTTAAAAAAAAAACTATCTCCAGCAAATAGGGAGGTAGGAGATAGGGAGGTAGGTGCGTGATTTTGGAACAATGCCAATGTTATCATCTTGTGAGCACAGGAAACCGTGATAGATAACAGAAAAATATTTAAGAACTGTTCTAAGTTAATTTGAGAAAAATACACAAAGCTTCTCTGCGTTTCGCTCCCATGCGCATGAAATAAAAACTTAAAATAAATACGGAAATAACAACGGAAACGGGGAAAAATGCAAGCTTGCGGATTGCTAAAGCAGGTAAGCTCCACACTATTTTTGAAGAACCTTATTTACCGTTGGCAAAATAGCTGACACGTATTATGTGTCGAGAAAAAGCTGTTAAACAGCTCGACCTGCTGCCCCCCCCGAAAGACACGGTCATTCATAGAATTATTGAATTTATATCAAAAGTACGCTGACAGAGCGCGTTAAGATGAGCAGATGTTTTTCACTGCAATTAGCTGAGTCTGTACTCAATATTGCCAATTCACTCGTTTGTGTTAGATACGAGTTTGAGGGTACGTCCCATGAGGACTTTCTGTTATGTAAGCCGCTACCAACAGGAACTACAGGAGAGCACATATGTCACTGGATGAATTAAGAGAATTAAGAGAATTGCATCGACTGGATAAAATGTGTCGGAGTTTGTACAGATGGTGCTAGAGCGATGACAAGCTGACACAGCGATGTAGTTGCACGAATTAAAGAGGTTGCTCCAGAAATTAATGGACGCATTGCAACATCCACCGCGAGAGCTTTGCCATCAAGAAAATGCCTGATGATTTAAAATCTGTTAGACTCTGTTGTGAATTGTATCAAGGCTCGAAAAATTAATTCACATCTGCTTTGCTCAACTAAACAGGCTCACCCCTCTCACTGAAATGGTGCTTTTTTATTATTTTAATTTGTTGTTGTTCCTGTTTTTTTCTGTAAAACGCTTTGAGAAGCCACATTTAAAGGCGCTATATCAAAGTTTATTATTATAATATTTATTATATGTATGTGTGAGTGTGTGCACGCACACTCATGTTGGTCATTGAGAATTTCTGGGGTTCCTATGAGATGATGACTTGTAGGTGGTACTTGGATGCTTTGTTTGGATTAGGGGTGGTACTTGGTCCAAAAAGTTTGAAAACCACTGGTATATACAATATACAAATTACATTTATAATTAAATTTAACAAAGCGATATTAAAAACACCACTGAAACCAAACTATAATAACATATCTGATAACTATTAACAATATTAAATAACTATCACATGGAATTGTATAACTAAAGAAATTAATAACCGTAATTTAAGGATATAAATATAATATATTTATATAGCTGGTTGCATTAATGTAGTCCACTTTCTTTGTAAGCATGTCTTATTTTTTCGTTTACTCATTCAGTCATGAGTACTTTCAAAACATTTTAAGCTGATGCAGCGGGTTTGTCAACAGGGCCCTATCTAGGAGTTTTGAGTTCAATGCCTGCTTAGGGCATAAGTTTTTCTTCTAACAAACAAAGTAAATATTATGTACACTTAATTTACAATTATTTATTTTTAATGTATTCAATGTTAAGTGATATTAATGAAATAAAAATTTCATTAATGAATTAATGATTGAGCAAACGTGGATACTGACAACAGTGGGAGTAATTTTAATTAAACGTTTAAAACACTTCAAATTTTTTAAACGCAACACACGTTTTGTACACAAAAAATCACATTCTTCCCTCTCCCTGTGGTGTGAAGCAGATCAGCAGGTCTTTTAGTAATAATAATAATAATTAATAATTGCTTACACTTATATAGTGCTTTTCTGGACACTCCAGTCAAAGCTCTTTACAGGTAATGGGGACTCCCTTCCACCACCACCAATGTGCAGCAGCCCCACCTGGATGATGCGACAGCAGCCATCGTGTGCCATAACGCTCACCACACACCAGCTATCAGTGGGGAGGAGAGCAGATTTATGAAGCCAATTCATAGAGGGGGATTATTAGGAGGCCATGATTGGTAAGGGCCAATGGGAAATTTGGCCAGGACGCCGGGGTTACACCCTTACTCTTTTCGAGAAATGCCCTGGGATTTTTAATGACCACAGAAAGTCAGGACGTCAGTTTTACATCTCATCCGAAGGACGGCACCTGTCTACAGAATAGTGTCCCCGTCACCATACTGCGGCATTAGGATCCACATGGACCGCAGGGTGAGCGCCCCTACTGGCCCCACTAACACCTCTCCATCAATACACATTCCCAAAAGTCACTGATGCAGCTGATGATGGTCCATTGTATTACAGGTACTACAGTTTGTATTAGGGGTAATTGTGGTGTCCATTGTGGCTTTCAGTTTAAAGGATTTATCTCTGCATCCGACTTTGGAGCAGTCAGAGAAATGTCGCAAGGCAGATGTTTTATCGATATAAGGGTGCAGTGTGTTAACACAAACTCTTAACAGAGCCATTTGTAAGAGAAAGGTGACTTTCTGCTCAATTACATGAGAGCTACAGTCAGATAGATTTTAAATTCTTTAAGCAACATTAGCTGTTTGTCAAATTCACCTACTTTGCGCATTACACGACTTCTGAAAAGATACTCTTTTCCCTCGTGCAATTTCACCCATGGTTTATTTTTTATAATTCTGAAACTTGGACGATGTGCCTCAGGGACTCATTCATAGTCTAATCAAAATAACCCCCCGTACCCCCCGCCAGGTCTCGCCTCCTGCTGTTCCACACCTGCAAGAATCACATGAAGTCAGATCCACAGATATACCAAAACAGTAGCGCACACGGCAATGAATGGCAGTGAGTTTGTATAATATATCAATATACAGTATGATACCATGTGGTTTCAAAGCCAGTACAGTATGTGTAAAATTAAGAATCTAAATATATTTATATAGCTGGTAGTATTACTATAGTCCACAGTATACTACCAGTCCAAATATTTTTTCTTAATCAAAATTTAAAGTTAAATTTCTAGTAGGTTAAATTTGTATTAATACAAAATATAGATTTTCTTTATAGACTTATAGACAATGCGGATGTAAACCTGAAAGAGGTGCATCATTTCTCGAATCACGTTCGCAACAAGCTATAATATCAAACTTTTTACACAGCTGGCTATGTAAAAAATATAGCCAAAAGGATCACTCTGAAGGTTAATTCCAAGCTGAAAAGACGAGACTCATCGTGTCTTCCCTATAACTTCAGTTAACAGCTTGTCAATTGTCATTCATTATTTATATTATTAATAATATATTCTGTATTGCATTTAAATTGGAACATTTTTACATATATAAAAAGAGGTGATGCACAACGTGTCTCCTCTATAACTCTTCAGTTTACAGAAAAATTCTGCAGAGCCACACAACATAGTAAATAACAGTGGCTAGCTCACTTAAAGGTGTAACACGTCTTCACTGTCATGGTACAGTTCCAAGATATTGATAGGCTGTTCTCCGGTTACTGGCAATTGTAAAAATAATCCTTCTTCCCTCCTTTGTTTAACTTAAAGAATTAATAACGAAACTTATCACTTATTATAATTCATCCAGATACACACACTCACACCGGAGCCAATTTTGCCAGAAACAACCTCCCGGTAAGTCTTTGGACTGCGCAGTACTGTACATTACAATATAGGGTTTAAAGTTTTAAATTTAAAGTTAAATTGTTGGCTGATTACTGGCTGCTGAAATTTGGAATAAGACAAAATAATGATTTTCTCAATTCAGATATAGTCTTATCGGGCTTTGAACCACCTGGGTGCAGCGTGCTACATAACAGTCCGTTGCCCATTACCACTATAAGGACAATTAAAGTAAAAAAAAAAAATGAATGTCAAAATGTTTCCAAAACATCCACTTGTGATATTTTAGCTGCTTGGTTACATGATTCCATGTTAATATTACTATTGAATGGTATTAAATCAGTACTTTTTTTCTACAATATCAGCAAGTGGTGTTCTTACTACATAGTCTTTGGGGAAAAAAATATAACTTTTTATGAAGTACAATATATAAACTTTATAATGTTAGAACAAGAACGTTAAAACCATAACCTACTGTAAGTCACCAAGTTAATGACTTTGATGCATAAAATATTTATGACGAAGGTGGAATACTGTTGTGTACTTTTATATTTAGCTACCACTACCATCTACTGAATGTACATCAATATGAATGTACATATGTATTATGTTATACTACTGTTTTTACTTTCAACTACCAAAATTTAAGTTTAGATTTTCTATATGTGGATGTAAACCTGAAAGAGCCACATCACATTCACAAGCTACAGTATAATAAAAAACTCTTTAATATATCCAACTGAACAATCTTGCTTTATAAAATATACCTACTTTTTAATTTGCTTAATGTTTAATGTGCTGTAATGCACAGTTTAAAATTAATAAAAGTCTAAACAGTATACAACCTAAATTCTGTAATGGGAAAAAGATTGTCCGTTAACATTGACCGGGATTTGTAACCAGGCGTTTTCTGGTGACAGTAGTGCAGCCTCACAACTGAGTGTTTCTAAAAAGCTGCGGTACCCCATAGCCCCTGAACTGCAAACTACTGCTGTATCTCCTGCGCATTCTGAATGGTTGGATCTGTAGTTTGCTTTTTTTGTATTATTGTGAGAGTTTTTGTATAAGGCCTTAAAAGAATATAAAAACCTGTCCTTTTTACTTTAAGAAAATGCACCTTATATTAAATACAGAATATGATGCAAAAGATAAGTTTTCAAAGGCTGTTCTAAGTATCTTTTGAGTGCAGAGCATACAAAAAGCAAGGATTTTTACTTCACTAAATGCAGTGTATGTCTGAGAAGGAGATTTTCACACGTCACTTTTCACAGTGGCTCAATCTCATATTGGGAATGTAAAGGGAACTGGCAAGTTATGTTTTTTCAATGATGGGGATTTGATGCAGACATTATTGATAATTGCATATGAGTACAAGCACACATCTTATATTTGAAGAAGTTTGAAACCAGCTTTGATAAATGATGAATCCTCATTTCTGAATATATCCAAAAATGTAAGATATTAAAACAGTTACTAGAAATAAAAGCTTGAATCAGACTAATCAACTTTTAATCAAGCTGGTTGTCTAAGTTAATGGTTTCCAATTACTGGGATCCCTTTCTTATCTTAATATTTTTAAATTTGCTTTTAGCTCTCAATATATTAAATGGTGTTTAAAATGGGTAGCAACTTCATATAAATTTCTGATTTTCAGAGCTTTACTTATTCTGATGGTTTTGCTGATATATAATCAATTGGACCCCTACAGTAAGGAACAAACCTGTTCCATCTTTGTCTGTGTATAACAAATTGATAAACTATTAAGAGCTATTTTGCATGCATGTAGTAAAACCTATGAATAAAAAATGGGAATTGTTGCAGTTTCCTAAAATAACAGGACAACATGTTCTTTAAATAAATGTTCAAATCACAAAATATCCAAGACTGGGCAGAACAAGGTCCACCTGTGTGGTACAAACTTTGTTCCTTCTCCCTTTCTCCTCCTTCCTGTTTTTTATGCTGTGTTTTGATGAAAGCTCTTAATGACTTTTTAAGATGTAAACGAGTAATCTTGAAAATTCTCTTTTATCCTCTGTGTTTACTGGCCTGTGAGATCAGCTGCATCTAAGTAAAAGGGATCTCATTGTTTTTGTATTTTATGACACCTTCCCCAGTCATAACAATAAGATAAGAGAAAGCAGTAGTATGAATAATGAAAGCTTGATACCACAGGAAGTCCACAAGACGAGAAGTGAGAAACACAGCCTCAGTCTTCAGTGTGTGCTTATAGCTGCTTATGAGCTTTGGTGTTTTCTAGTCAAGGGTCTACAATAAAACACACACAAAAACATTCATAGCAAGACGGTGGTTAGCATTGCTGACGTTCAAAGCTGGGCACTGAGTTCATTTTCAGAGTGCCATTGTCAGAGTGCGTGCGGAGTTTGTATGTTCCCCCCCCCCCGTTTCCCCCCGTTCACCTGCATTTCCTCTGGGTTCGCTGATTTCTTCCCACAGTCCAAAGACATACTGGCAGCTTGATTGGCTTCTGTGAAAACTGGCCCTGGTGAGAGTTTGTGTTTGTGTGTGCCCCGCAATGGGCTGGTGTCCCATTCTAGGAGTCTCAGGCCTCCCCTACGACTCTGTATTGAATAAAGTTGTTGGAAGACGGTTGGATGTTTATGTACCTTGGCCTCCTCTTGTCATATTTGTGGGCTGGACTTGCAACATAGCGCTCTGAATATAGCCTCATCAGCTGATGAATCCTGATGGTCAGTTCTGTGCAAAATTTGAATCCAAAATAGACAGAAACCAACAATTTCAGTAATTAAGTCACTAAGACTAATTCTCATTGTTCGCTAAATTTGAGCTAGGTGTCTTGACGTTTTAAAGAAGAATGTATACATATTTTTAATATTGTGTATGCTCAGCATCATTGGTTTATCCAATTTAAATTAAGTGTTTGGTTGAATAATATGTACTAATTTTGACTTTTGTGATTAAGGTAATTAAGAAATAAAATAGGTTCAGAAATAATTGTATTATTTGTAGCCATAAGATTGTAGTGGTAGCACATTAATTTTAACTGAGTTTGTCTTCAATACATGCTTGTGGAAAATTAAAAAAGTACACTTTTGTTTTCCTTGTTTTATTTAAGATGCTAAACCTGAAACCTTTTTGAAGTCCAAATTTTCAGTAATAGAACTGTGCTATTCCTAAATATATCTAGACATTTTTATACAGTATTGGCTAGTATTTTTTCTAGGCAATTCTTGGCTATGTTTTTTTCTAGGATCAGTGGCATTCTCATTTTTCCCATTCTCTCTACTCTGTCCTCGTACCGCTGTAAATTGTGCCTGTGGGTCATCGCTACAGAGTCAGTTGGAGATGACATCCGCTACCACAATCTCTACAAAGCCAACTTTGACAACATGGCAGCCTATCTCCAGAAGAAGCAAGAGAGGCTGCAGCAGCAGGGCAAGAAGAGACCCGGCGCACATCCAGAGTCCAATGGATCGAACAAAAAGCCCAGGGCAGAGCAGACCACATCTTAAACCTGCACCTCCCAGTGGACTGCACAGACTGATAGAAGAGTCAGGCGCTGCCTGATAGAGCTGCCTGGGGGTCAGGACTGCAGCCTTGGACTGCAGCCTTGAAAATCAATGTTGGGTTTTAAAAGTAAAGGAGATGGGTAATGGAATTTAGCAACTTATAATTGCAATCTACGTTTACAGCAGTCCTAAACAATGATAATTGGTATATTCAGCCATATTAAGCAACACATTTTAAGTTTCATCACATGGCTTAAACAGAAGACAATATTCCTAATTTTTAAATTGGAACTAGAGTGAACTGTCACATAATCTTTATCTTTAATTTAGTTATGTTTCATCAGTCACTTACTTAGGTAAAAACATGCCTGTGAATGTCCCTAATTTCCCCAAGCAAAAGCTAATCCCAAAATCTCATGACAATTTCTATATTGGTGTATAAACTCTTCTACAAGATGATGTGGACCTGGGGCATAATGAAAAAGTCCTGACTTGTTTCAGAGTGAATGGGAAATATTTGTACATCTGTCATATTCTCATGAAAACTCATTCTGTGAAAGCTAATTTTTATTTTTTATTTTATAAAATGTTTTCGTTAAAATTCTTTATTTCATTTCTTTTTCAGGTCAGATACAGATTAAATGCTTTGATTTTAATAGTTTGTCCAGGGGATACAAACCTTCAAAGGTTTTGTTTTTATTTGGAGAGTAACATCAGTAATGTTGCCAAATTCTGCAATTAAATGTAGCAGAGAATTAATTTAATTATTTTTAATTTCCAGTTCATCTAGTTTGAAAAGCTTGAAAATAGATTTAAATGAGCAGCTGCTACATCCAAGATCAGGCTTATCAGTATGGTATAGCCAAAATTTGACATGTGAAGCAAGCCAAAGCAGAATAACAAAAAATAATCTTTATATTATGTAGTGCCTAGAGTATAAAAGCTAGAGTATAAAAATGTGTTTTTAGGCTATTTGAAAGTGCTGACCAACTTATCAAGTCAACTGATTTGGTCTAGGAGATGACTACTCAGTTTTGGAGCCTTGTATTGGAATTTAAAAGAGGAATTACTCCAAACAGTGCAATAAATGTACTAGTGTACATGGGGTTACTGATGTCAGATACCAAACCATACGTAAATGTGTACATGTACATGTGTAAAAACCATACATGTTCATAAATGTGAACAGGAGTTTTGTGAATCTTATTCTGAAATCCATAGAGAGTCAATGAAACGAAGCTAAAACAGGTGAGATCATGCATTTTAGTTTTAAAAGCCAAATTGGATAGTCTCTTAGATGGTAATGTTTTTAAAAAGTCCGAACTCTTTATTTTTACAGTGATAAAAAGTGGGCCTTGAGTAGGATTAATTGAAGTTGGTATAAAATGAAATTAACATTACAAAACAATCTTGCAGGCAAATTTAAAAAGATGAAGCACCCTATTTGTCTGGGAATGTGGAGTGTGATCATGTGGATTCTCTATAGCAGTGAGTAGATCCAGAGCTGTGTTAGGCTGATCCTAGAGAGAAACCAGTGGTTCTGGGAGTAACTACATGAGTGTGACAATAACTTTCCAAGGAGCATGACGCTCAGGTACTACCCTGACATTTCAGGTTAACATGCAAATTTAGAAAACTCAAGTGGAAACAGGTAAAGGTGCACAGCTTCTCTGCATCAAACCTCAGCCATGGAAGGAACCTAGTTATAAAAGCTCCAAGCCTGTGAAGACCTTTTCTGGGAGAAAGCACCGCTGTGAGGCAGGGTTGTAGTGGGCTAACAGAGCTGAGACCAACAGGGACAGAAATTATTAGCATTAGCATTGTATCCATAATACAGAATAATCCTAACAGCAAGCTGGTTCACTTATAATGGAATCGTCGGCTACTGCTGGTCATTTTATTAATGATCCTCATAGAAGTAGCTTTACATCAGATATGACTGGTGGATTTTTTATGTTTGCCTGTAAATCCTTGATGCTATCTGAATTAACACGTTAGCCAGGTCTGCTGTTGCTAAAGTAAAGTGTACGAGAAAGCCACCAGCAAGCAGGACATCTGAGCGTCATTTATATAAGAATTCTTTCCTATACCACAGTGCGAATAAAGCCTGGTTTATAACACAACAGTGCTCATGAATCAGGGGACCCACCACATGCTGGTCTATTCCCACTGCTTTGAACAGGATGGGTCACTCATATGCAGTGTAATACACTCTTATATTTTGGAATGGGTGATGTATCTCTAACTCGTGTGCAAATAATTTCATCATGAAACCACAGGGGAGTTCAGGTTCATTAAAATGAAATATAAAGCTTCTTCTGAGATGTTGGGGTTTGCAAAATGGCTTGCAACGTATGGTCTAGATCATTTGACTCTTCACAGGCGATTAAAGTACTGCTAATATTTCATTAATAGCACTTGAATTAACATTTCAAAAGCAAGCACATTATGAAATTAAAAGGACCTGTGTGAAGAAGAGGTCAGAGTAGGGTGCTGTCTCAGTGTGTGAGATATAACGAAAAGAAAACTGAAGAACACTTAAATTCTGGAGCCTTCTGTACACCTACTCAACTGTGGCCCACTATAATGCCAAAACATTTTTTTTTTACTTTTTAACATGAAATTAACCTTTAAGTTTAATTTGATGAAGATGCCTTTTCTGACAAAAATTGTTTTTGGTAAATCACCACTTTGACACATATTTAAAATAACAATGATTTAAAGCTTGTTGGCGTGTCCAGTATTAATTTAATAATAATATTGGCCCATGTTAACCCTTTATTTGTAGATTCAGACACTGGCCAACCACTGTTTTTAAAAATCACTGACAACAGATATGTACACTCCACACATGCATGTTTCATGTGTTTCTAAAAGAAAATTCATAAATATGAATAAAAATTAAATATGACCAGGTATTCATTGGATGATTAGGTAAATAACCATTTGTATACTCTATTGAGTCACAATTGCCCTGTCTGGAGGCTAAGGGTCTAAACAATAATTGAGTGATGGAAGGAAAGATGGAGATTCCTTATACCCGTGACCTTCTGTGACCAAAGGTTCAGGTCCTGGTATCATTCCAGTAACAACTGCCTTCCGAACACACTTAAACAGTTGTGTAAATTCTTATTTACTGTATCTCTTACAAAAAATGCCTAGCTATCTACATTTGGGGAAACCAGAAGGACACTAGGAGTTAGGGCTGTTAGGTCTGTGAAGATTAAAGATTTCTCCAAGCCCATAGTTTCTCACCTTTCTTCACCCCTCTCCACTTTGCACCACCTGAGTGGCCTCTTTACCTCCCGTCTCCTTCCCTCTTCCAGCTTTTGTTCTTTTGTGCTACTTAATCTTTGCTTATTGCCCTGTCTTTCTCACACCTGCAGAAGGCTCCACAGCCGAAACGTTTTGTTTTTTCTCTTCTCTTTTCAGCATGGAATAAACCTATGAGTTTTTCCATTTGTGTAGATATTGTTTGGCATCCCGTCCAAGGTGTATCCTGCCTTCCTGCCAGTGTTTCCTGTTGGATAAGCAATTAATGAAAGTGATGTGATGATGATAAACATATTGAACTATATAGTAACATAAAGTAACTGATTCTTACTAATCCTTTCAGGTTCCTAAGGAAGTCAGTGATGCTCCCACAATACATTTTATTTCATTAGACCTTTGCTTTATCTACAACATCAGAGATGGAGTCTACTTCAATTACAGTTCTTACATGCACCACTTACATGAGGATTAGGTATCAAAATATGTTGAAATCATACATCCCTGTATTCTAAATGCATTACATTAGGCAAGCTTTTATGCTTTGACTTGTACCAAGTTATATGTAACAAGTTAAAATACATAGTAACTTCAGTAAACAAATTTGTACCTAACTGAACTTTGGATCATTTCCAAACCAGAACAAGACAATCAAAAAGCAGGGAATTTATTTGAAAACTTTTTAATTATAGACAGAAGGACTAGGAATGCGCTAGTAGCAGTGTTGAGATATACAAAGCTAACCTATGCTGTAATGCAATGTAAAGGTTTGTAAGCATTTTAAAGTCTTGAAATAAAATATAGTATAAACAATCCTGATATGTGAAGTGTGTTAACATTTTGACATAAAAGAAAATTTTAGGCAGAAATTCCGGAAGTGGTCAAAGTGAAATCTCACACTTCCACTCTCTTACACGTAAATATTTGTATCCTTTGCACGCATCTCTCCCTGCTTTCATCTATCCTCCCTCTAACCTCATCTTGACCCTTCCAACAAACTTCCTGGTTCATTTCAATGGGGGATTTGTCAGCTTTTGCCTCTAAGGTCAAGGCTGACATTTCCTCCAAATATTAATATTTAAAACACTATTGCTTTAAATCCTGTCATCTTACTATATTAATCAGAATTTGACTGAACTACTGAGACACTACTTGAAGTAAAACAGGCTTTTTTGATTTTATTTCACATCACATTTGTTCAATGATCAAATCACAGAAAATGAACGAGTAAATTCTAAAGGAATTCAAAGAACTAGATCACAGATGTTGAATGATTTGTAGTAGTGTTTCCTTCAACTACTCTCTTAAAAATACACACAAATTCAGTTTCTGACAGTATTTTAGCAAATTGCTCTTCAGATTAAATGGGGGGACATTTCTAAGTGTGTGGTGAAAATGAAAAGCTGTGATCAAAGTTCCAGGTTCTGGTATTCACAGACATTCCAGTAACTGCTGAATCAGAAACTTCAACACTCACAGCCATCGATTACAAATCCAAAACCCAGTGTTCAGTGACAACCATCAGTTACTATATTTTCCACCATATCCCCTAGGTTGCCGTTTCATCCTCTGAGATTGTCATCATTTTATTTCATACTCAAATACATTTTAGATGCACATTTTTCACATAAATATGAACAATGTGTTCTTGAAATATATTGATTTCTCAATCTGTTCTTAAATGCATTTAATCACTTTCAAATATATTTCCATATTTCTGCCAATATTGTAACATGTTTAAAAATAAACTCAAATATTCTTAAGCAGACAATAGATAGCATAGTACATTAAAATATTTAGTCAGATTGTTCCAGAATGGATTTCTTTTGATGTATTAAAATTAAAAGTAATCCCTTAGAAGTAATTTTATATAGACATGTGTACATGGAAGGCAATTTTCTTGCCCAGATTTTCACAATTTCTTAAAAACAACTATTTTTGAAGTATTAAAACTAAGTTTGAAGTATTTACCTAAAAGGCCTGTAAAAAGCTGTTAGATGAATGTTTAGAAATGAACAACCTGATGCAATTAAAGCAAATTATTTATTTGGAACAAACAGAGACTATAAAACTGTACAAATGTATGTAAAAAAGAATTAAACTAAACAATTATGTTAAGAAGTAGCTCTGATTTGCTGTACATTGGTATATCCCCTGATGACAGTCTGGATCATCTACTGTAGCTGTTCTGCTTCCACAAATCTTTAACCAAGTAGGTGTTCACTTCTGACCTTTCACCTGTTGTAAAGAAAACAGATTTACTAACCAAACAGTTTCAGTTACTTCACTTTTTGTTTCCTTTGTTACATGTATGGAAATAATCTATACAGGAATGAATTAACAAAAGCACAGCATAGCAGTATTTCTACCAGTTTCCCTAAGCAATACTATGTTTCTTGACATTACAGTTTTTTATGATACTTAAAAGAAACCCTAATCACTCAGATTTCCAATGTATTCTAAGAGAAAATATAAATAATTTGGGTTGTATTGTCACAATCTTGTGCTGCACTGGCTAAAATCACAGCTAAAATCACAGGTGCATCTGTCTTCCTCCAGAACAGATACACATCAAGGCATCAATCAAGGACATGAATGCTGCAATGTATGTTGGTGACAAGTTCTGTTCCTTGAAAGTCACAGTTCAGTTGTTTTATACATTGTATTAGAACCAGTGAAGGCAATGAAAAAATGAAAATAGTTGTTATATTAAAGGACACAATAGCAGCACTGTAGAAAAGTTGTTTCACCAATCGGTTAGAGCACTCGGCTTCATATTGTATGCAATCATTCTGTTGAAAAGGTTCTGGAACCAGACTGCAAAACTGGACTACATGATCCACTTGGGACAAGTCCTTTGACGATCTGTTAATGCCAACAGGAGCAGAACAGTAACATCTTGAACCTGAAAGATCAGGGAGCTTTTTGAAACATTTGAGGATAAAGTGGTATAGTGAGAAAGAGCAGAAGAGAACAAGGAATTTTCAAAGACATTGCTTATTCCGCTCAAGAAAATGAAGCCAATCACTAAGAAGCTGAAAATGCACCACTCCAGACAATACTCAGTCTGACTGCACTCACACCCTGAGCAAGACCATGTTGGATTTCACTCTGAAGCCAACAATGTATTTGAAAAGCATGCAAAGTTTTACAGTGTGTTAGTTAGAAAGGAAGATGCTGTTGTTGAAATTAAACATTTTAGTTTGAACACAAAGTGTTACATCTGGCCAACACAGAACATCACTCATTTAGCATTTTCCCTAATGTCAAGAATGGTGGTGGCAGCATTATGGTATAGTGTTGCATTCATCAGCAGGGACTGGGAAATTTGTCAGGATTAAGGAGAAAATGGATGTGTCCTAGAAAACAGTCTGCTTGAGTCAGCAAAGAATTCAAAAGTCTGTGAAAGGTTCATATTTCAGCAGGACAATGACCTGTAGCACAAAGTCAAATTGAATTAATTCAACAAGAAGATAGTGAATGTCCTTGTCAAACTCCTGACTTGAATCTTATAGAAAGATTACAGAAAGACTTGAAGATTGCAGTGTATCAAGAACTCCAAGAAACTTGTTAAAATGGCCATTCACAGGAAACATGGGTAGAAATTACATGTGCAAAGCTATCAAAGGTGCTTCCACCAAGTACTGATATTGAGAACTGAATACTTATGCAATGAGTACATTTCAGTTTGTATACTGTTGACTGATTTGCTACCACAGCATTGAATAAAATGTTTTTTTTGGAAAATCCTTACATACTGCACATAATTTATAGTTCAACAAAATCTGCCATTTGTGGTAGGGAGTGGATTTCCCCAACAAATCATTATATATAAATTATTATCTATAATTATATGCGATAAATTAAATGTATTTACCTTTACATTTACTAACCTTGAGCACTCTGCTCTTACTTCTTCTTCCCCCCAAGCGTTAAGCTCTCACTTTTCTTTTTTTGTACCTGAAATTAAATATGAAAAGCAACAGGATATGACTGCAATTAGCATGGTTTCTGAAGAAGTCTCCCTCGGTGGCATGGTGGGTAAAATTGTTGCAGTCTGGAACCAATTTCCTAGCCTTGTGCTTGAATCAGTGAATGTAAATATGCCATGCTAATGGAAGCATGCATTTGTTTTGCTAATACAACTGAATCAACATTTTACTTAGCCTCACACGATTTCAGGCCTGGTTGCAGCTGAAATCTCTGCCTAAGAGATCTGATCTCCAGACTATTATTATACATTATACATTATACATTATACATTATACATAAATAATTCATTCTTATGGTAAATTCAGACAGGATGGTGAATCTTGTCTAAACTACATTCCCCAGAAAACTATGGGAAATTAATAGCTATAAACAATTTAACCAAATGACAATTTAAAAGCCAGGATGAAGTGGCTTCTGGATTTCCACATCGGCTTATGGGGACATCCTTTGACATGCATTGGGTGAGAGAGCTGTGTGAATGCAGGCAGGCAGTGTAACCTCTTGGGTTTTGTTAAGTGAGGGAATAAACAAGTCCCATTGGGAGCTTTTATTTTTGTGGGTATTTTATTGAAAAGTTGAAAAGACCCTAGCAGCAACTACCCTGACATGAGGTTACTCATCTGTGGTGCTTCTAATTTTCATTCTACCTGAACTCTTAATAACTTAATTGATTTTGTTATTGATTTAATGTGTTTGTACTACAATGGTTTCCTAATATTTATTCATGAGTTTGTTATAAAACCAGCAGAGCTGTGACTCCCCAGGACCAGGAAAGAGTCCAATATAATTATTTTTTATTTCCTTTGAACAAATTGAAAACTTTTAATACTCTTTCTTGTCAATGTGAGACCAGACGTTGGGTGAAGGGGGCTTGCCTCATTCATGGCATCATCAATCTGTTTGAGCTCCTCATAGCGATCGCGAGATTCCCTCAGGGGCTGAACCATCACCTCTTCAATCTGGGGAAACAACTGTAGGGATGAAGACAGTACTCTTAGTAGGGCCTGCACTCCAAGTTCACATCTTATTTCATTAGAAAAACAGCTACTAAGATAATTGAAAAAGACAGCTTATATTAATAAACTACTATCAACAAAAGGAGAAAGAAAAAACACAGAGGACTGTGGTTTCAGGTTTATAAAACATTGTATTGAAGTCACTACCAAATGACTACTTTCATGAAATACACAACATACATACAGCAAGGTATTGCACATAGACAGAAAAAATGCACAAGGTAAATATTAAATAAGTGTACTGAACTAGGGAAAGAGATGTACAAGTGATAGCAACAAGAGAGTACAGGGAAAGCAATATTAGAAGCTTGGTTACTTTATTACGATTAAGAAAAAACGAAAAATGCCATGTTAAAATTATACAATATGTAAATCAGACTTCACTAGAGATATTGTGCTCAGCTTGTGTCATCACACTATGTGAAAAATATTATTGTACCAGGGGAGTGTAAATATTGGATTAAAGTAACTACATTTTTTAGCCAGAAAAGAGCAGATCATGTGGGGCCTTGATTCTCACATTCAAAATCTTGAAAAGCATTCAACAGAGGGCACCTTCAAGACCAGCAGCAATATGGGGAACTGGGATACAAGTCAAAATTAATATTTGGAAATTTTAAAACAGCAGACACTTCTTTAAACAGAGGGTTGTTGGAGTCTGGAACCATTTTCCTAGTCTTGTGCTTGAAAATTACAGTGTAGAATCCGATAAGAAACAGCATGATTGGTCACATGTAGCCTCATTCATGTAAACATTCTTATAATCTTATGTTTAGCTTCAGGATGGTATTTATATCTCATTCGGATTGATATATCGTAGGAATCAATGGGTTTCAAAGGATTCTAAAGAATCTCTTTATAACTTTTTTTAATGATGAAAGATTTTCCAGGTAAAATGTATACAAAATCATTTTCAAGTTTCATATTTTATTTTAACATTACGTTTTTCTATTTAATTAACTATTTACATGATGGAGGTTATATATGGAAATATAATAAGAAAAAACACAACAAAAAGGTAACACTCCACCCAAAAAGGTTGACTCATCTACTTTCATAGATTAAAATCAGGTCTCAATGGGGCAAGTAACCCCAAGCTTGCCAGTATTTGCTAAAGCTTTCAGCCTGCAACCTAAGAGAAAAAGCAATCTTTTCCATTATATAAATCTTCACAATACTGATCCATAATTTAGAAGCTGGGGGTTCTTTAGTAATCCATTTTGTTGTGATTGGTTTCTTACTGAAAGCTACTGTAAAATAATTCCTAGTATATATTCTTTACTTCTGAGGAATCAAAAGTTACCCAAATGTATAACAGTGAACTCATATGCCTAGGGTTGCTATATTATTTAGCCCTAATGTATACATTGTTGTATTACTGAGCATAACCAAAATATGTGTAAATGAATTGCCACTTGCTCTCCACATCTCTTTTGTGAAAATTCTTTTTCTTGAATTTTAGGGCTGATAAAAAAATAAGTCAGTATTCCCAACAAAAGTTTATCCAAATTTGTGAACTGGAATTTTGTTGAAAATTGCATGTTTTTTTCATGTTTTGCAGAAATGTTCTATCATTTTCTTTTCCCCATTTTATTTTAAAATTCTTTTTTTCATATATTCAATGTTTTATATGCTTTTGATATTATTTTCTTCCGGTTACTTTTCATGTAAGCAGCTATGAAATCGTCCATCAGTTTTTTGCCTTGCTGAGTTATCTGCTATAAGTATTTTTTTCCCAGGTTATATTGTTGTGATAAATCTTTTTCAGATGATTCTGTTTTGTCATGGTATATATTGCTGTAATCACTCTCATAGTCCTAAAACATGTATCAGATCTTCCAGAGGAAGTATCTGAATACCTACATTAATATCTTAACATCTTTCTCCAAGTTATAGGTTTTTTTATTTTAAACCAAATATTAATTGGAATTGTTACATATGTTACATTAATTGGTATAGCTATTTTATACACAGTCTATGCCAATGACATAACCTCCAGAACCATCTGTACTGGAAATCCATCTGTGATCAAAGATCTTCCATTTTGCACTATAATTTTGATCGCACTAACAGATTAGAAATCTAAGATGAGCTGCTTGGTAATATGATTTTGAATCTGACAAGGATAAACCACCTTTCCCCTTGGTTAATTTGAGCATTTTAAGAATAAATTGTTAAGAGCAGAGTTTTAACTTGTAAAAGTACCAGAATGGATTAGACCGCAATTGACTCCCATAAACACAGAATATATTTTCAGAGGATATGCAAAGCTAGCACCTTTACCTTCATCACTGTCTCAAACATGGGGATGAGGACAAACTTGATGAAGCCAATCTGAGCAGTAGGTTTGGTCACCTTGTCTCTATCCATGAAAGGGGCAACTGGAAGGCCTTCTAACTTCTCTCTGTCACTCTAAAAAAGGTTAAAGCTACAGTTAAATTCCCTGTAATGGATTCAGTGTAAGAATACACAAACTGTCACTTGCAGCACCAATATCCTGGAAATGAGTCTTTCCCCACCTTAATCAGCGATCTTCACTGTTCATTGAAGCGACAACAGCCATCTTGTAATATCCAGTTCAGTTTGGACTGGAGGCACACTTACAGTACAACACTTTAAATGCCTTGATGACATTATTAACCTCCCAACACCAACAACATTTTGGCAAATGTTTATCTATTCTAAAATATTCTTTAGTTATATAAATATATTCATATGACATTCATTACAATCACTCAATTACTGCACCTCAATTAGTTTACATGATGTTCAGGCATTTTAAAAGTGTTTGTTTAGCTTCAACTATTTATCTGCAATCAAACTTTTCCTTGCTACTGTATATACAGTAGATCAGGGATGAGCAATTCTAGACCTACAAAAACATCTTATCTAAAATATTTCAGTTAAGTAATTAATACCAGGGGACACTGCAGCTTTAATAGTGGATTTCTCTGCAGTGGATAGAGTAAGTATTATAATATATCAGGGTAATTAGTCTGTGCAGCCTAGTGCAGTAAAAATGTAGGGACCAGAACTAAACTATACTGTAGTAAAATACTATGGCAAATGCACGGATAAACGTTCATGAGAGTTTCGACTTGTTTTTTGATCACAGTGCTTAAATACTTTTGCAGTGTTATTGGAGTGGCTTCTTTAATATACAGTATCAGACAAGTTAGGGTGTTCCTGCCTCAGGAGGGTTTACAAATGAGTAAAATCTTGCCTGCATGAAGTACTCCTCTAGCAGGCAGTCCACCCAGGGCTCAGCTACTTCCATTGGGCGGACCTCATTGGAAATGTCACAGCACTTGATCAGCACCATCTTCAGCTAAGACAAGAGACAAAATATCTGTAAGCTCTCACTTTTCTTTTTGAAATGAAATATATAAAGCAACAGGATATGATTGCAGTTGGCATGGTTTCTGAACATATATCCCTTGGTGACATACAGAGGACATACAGTAATACCTACTGACTCTGAGTCTATATCAGTAACAGTGGGGCAACAATCCAGCAGGCTTTAAGACAATAAGACAGTACTGGAAGGGGGTGAATACCTTTACAAGGTGCTGTGCTTCTGCCCCCCAGTGTTTTAGATCAAAACATATTGAAGAATATAGGTGTTGTATTAATCTAGACTAGGAGTGGTCAAACTTTGCACCTAAATTCAATGACATACTGTAGCAAGTCTTTTCTCCAACATATCCTTAATTATCAGAGATTTAAGAGATTTGCTGGGTTTCTTTAGTGTTTAAAAGATAAATTAATTGCTTCGGATAGTGCAATGTCTTGTAATGGGTGCTAGGGTTCAATACCCCTGGGCAAGACTGACCACTTTCCTTGACACAGTTTAAGCAGCAAGGTGTAGGATTTGGAAATATATTTTCTTGTTCTTCTAAAAGGCATTTTATTAATATTTAATCATGTTGTCATAAAATGGTATTAGAACCTAGTCTGAGTTTAGTTTTTTTCTCCATTAGAGGACAAAGAGAGGCCACTCACACAAGTCACATGCTCTTCATTAGTAAAGTCAAAGTTGTCCACTTTCTGCTTGAAAGAATCCAGTATCTCCCCATGGCGGGCCATGTCTGTGGCTAAAATTAAAGTTATTGTTCCCTGTAACAAAACAAACCAATAAGTAAAAGTACCAAAAAACCTTACTAAATACTAAATTTATTGAGAAACCAACTTCTGTAGGCTTCAATATTGCAATTGCTAAATTGCTTAGTATTGTAAATAAGAGAAAACAGAATACTAAGCAAGATGCATTGGAAAAAATGTAGGTCTGTTAATATTAATCAACTTATTAAATGATACATTGCAACTAAGGAAAACTCAAATAATAGATCTGATTACGGCAGAGCATGTGTATGACTATGCTAATAATAACATGAATAAGATTAACAGCCATTTAAAGGTCAGAAAAATGTCTTTAGATTATTAGGAGAAATGGGGGACAGTGTATCTCACTTGTGTATGCAGCATTAGGGCTGAAGAGCAATAACCTGCTAAAGCACCATATCCTCTAATCTGGGCACAGTGGAAAGAGTACCACATGGAGCCTCACTACTCGTGGACAGATTATGATAAAGGGAGATCAGCCATCTTTCCAGAAGGAACTATTCAGAGTAGCTAATCCGCTCAACCAACATGTCTTTGGAAGGGGGGAAGGGACTGCAGCGCCCTGAGAAATGGGCGCAAACATAGGGCACAAGCACACAAGTGCCACACAGAGGTGCACAAAGCTGGAATTGAACCCAAAACCCGAGGCCTCAGAGGCAGTAGTACTCTATCACCAAGCTGCCTTTCACAGCATCTGATAAAGCACTAATATTAGTCACATGGAGGTATAAACCTATTATGTGCAATTCAGCAATTGTAAAATAGGGCTTAGTTTAATTATTTAATATTGAGAATAGTCAAAGTTATACATTATTCTTAAAGAAAATGATTTTGATATACTGTTTAATTTGTATACCAAATTTTATAGTATATCACATACTCAATTTATTGAATTGGTTGTTTACAGAGAGGCACTTAAAACACAACAAATGAATAGTCAAGCTAACAGAAAATGTTGTATTTTTAGAGCTTCTTGATATATTTATATTCAGTTTTATCTTTGACAGCATCCTGTAAGCACTTTACTGTATAATTATTCTACCACTCAACCATAAGTAAAATTAAAAGTCTTACTAAGTTTTTGCCATTGCATAATTGCCTCTGCTGTGATGCAGTGATCGACCAGCAAACTTATCTCAAAGTCCCCAATTTGCATTTTTCATTTATGATCATCAATTACCTTTTTCACCTTTTAAAAAAAAACTTTTCATTTACAGGAAGTTGTTTTTTTCTATTAAATGCTTTTCTTGAGAAAATTGTTGAAGTACTGATATATGCTTTAAGATGAACAGAATGCATTAATAATTTGTTTTGAAGTGTGTGAATTACATTTAAGTCCTCTTGACTCCAAACAACAGTCCAGGTAGTTAGCAATACTAAGGTAGTAATAATAGGACTTTATTTTCCTTTGTACTGTAGACCTGAAAACAAACAGAAACACAAACAGAAGAGAGTCGGTGCTGTGGGAGGACAGTCTGCTCACACCCAAGTTCACAGCAGCTGAGGCAACCACAAGTGTCTGAAGAGTCACAGATGTCCAGACTACTCATGTCTACCATTGTTTAGCAGTGAACTAGTAGCAGAACATGCATTTGAAGAGGCAACCTCTAAGTCAGCTTGTACCTAAACATCCTCCGAAACAGTCAGTATTAGAATCAGATTAGTTCTTGATTACTTTGGCTTTATGATCCCTTTGTTGAATACTAATTAAGTTGTTTACAGTTTTTTGAATTCCTTCCTTGGTTTCAGAAATATCCTGCCCTGCATTTAGCAAATAGACCTGTGCTCAGCCTATCCGCAGTGATTCCATAATAAACATTCTTACAAATTCATGGACTCAGATGGTTAATTTCCGAAACCCAGGTGGTTCTCAGTAGGCCTAAATCATAAGAGTTAAAAAAGCCCAGCACTTGGTGGAGGGGATGTGCTGATTTTTAACTCACCCGAAAATATATAACTTTACAAAATCCAATCAAGCAAAGAGAGCAAGCAGGCAATGAATTGGCCAATCAATAATATTTCAGTTAGAATTTAAAACAGGGCCAAGATGAGGAAAAACCCATCTAGGATATAGGACCTCACTAGTCCAACACCCCCAGATTTGCTACAGTTTACAGCACTGGACTAGAACTCAATGACAACTCTTAATTAAATAATTGACAATATTATTGGTAATCAATATAAAAAAGATGTTCTCAGTTCTTCAAGCAGTGGAAATGAAAGAAAACCTAAACAACACCTGGACTGTTATTTAACAGACCTGGAATTGTTCTCTACTAGTTAAGAGCTTGAAAATAAGATGCTTTGTTTAATTGCACCTGTCTTATCGTTTTGAAAGACTCTGGGTCAAAGTTGGAGAAGATGTTGCACTCTGGCTGTGCCAGGATCTGGAAGGCAATGGCACAGTGGTGATTCTCCAGGGGTGAGATGTCATTGTAGCGCACCGCCAGCTCCGTGCGGGCATTGATCTGGTACCTGAGAGGAAAGAGCAGAAATGAGTGTAGCTGCACTGTAAGGCTGCAGAACTCTCCAAATTTGTTTTTTTCTTTGCTTTTTATTCAGACCTAAGATCCAGGATAAAAAGAGTAATCAAGTGATCCTTTGATATTTGATCTTATGGAAACAAAGACATAAGTGATGATATCTCACTTATAAGTTACCATAAGACCTTTGTAGTAGGATCAGGGTCAACAAATGAAAATAATTTACAACATCTGGTCTCTCAACCAAACATCAGATACAGTATATTTTAAAATCATATTAAAATAGTTTTTAGACTATTCAGTCCTCACAGACTGAGTACATAAAGTAGAATGTTCTTTCTTTATGCCTTTTCTTCCTTTAAATCCTTTCGAGAAATAGTGCAATGCAATGCACACACGTCACTGACTTTGACACTGACACTGATTTTTAACTGATATTCCATATGTAAAAGAACATAAAGTATCATAGAGTTCACTTTGTATATGTTGTAAGTTACATCAGCTATTTAGTTGTTCTTAAGCAAATAAGAATTATATTTTGTATAAAATACACATATTAAAATGGCTGAAACATTTTTCAGTTAATAAGATTTAAATAGGGTGATTCAGTGGTAACAGTGGTTAGCATTACTGCCTTGCAGTGCTGGGGCCCAGTGCTTAATTCTGCGGAGTTTGTATGTTTTCCAAGTGTATGTGTGGGTTTCCCTTACAAAAGGTTTTCTGTAGAGTAAAGTTAAAGTTTTCTGTAGACATGTGTCTGTTCTCTGTTGAAACATATAGGTCATCTACAAACTATTTTCACAGGGGAAAACACAAGAATGAAAACATTTAATACGTGTTGTTGTATCCAGGATGGTCCAGGTCATGGCAGACTGCTGCTGTCATCAGTATCAGAATGTCCACCTGAGTGAACTTCTCCTGTGAAGACAGTCAATCAAAAGTTAAATCAAAACTCCAAACACAAAATGAACTAATTATCCTTTTACATGTGTGTACTAATGGAAATCTAAAAATGCTCTTATGCAAGGTAACTTAACTTCCTTAGGACTACAAACTACAAGATATAAATTCCTTAGTCAGCTGAAACTCTTCAGACTGCCTGTGAATAATGTCACTAGTCTTCAGTGCAGCTAGTGAGACTGCCGACGTGAAGCACCCATGGTTAATAATCCCCCAAAGCTCAGATTCAGAAAATGAAAAAGTATATAGATCTAGTTCAAGTTCACGTTTATTTGTCATTCCAGCCATATACAAGTATACAGTGGAATGAAATATCGTTCCTCCTGGTCCACGGCAAATACAGGACACTGACATAGACATTGCAGACAGGATACACATAGTGCAAAGTGCAGATAGTGCAATTACAAGGTAAATACATAATACAATATACACAACACACTGGGGGGATTTAAACCCTGTTTCTGGAATTGGGGTGGATGCAAGTAGATTTCTGGGTGTTGAAGAGCCTAACAGCCTGCGGGAAGAAGATGTTAGAGAGTCTGGTTGAGCTAGCCCGTACACTGTGATATCTTTTCTCAGATGGTAGGAGGGCAAAGAGTTTATGGGAGGGGTGGGAGGGGTGGGAGGGGTCATCTATTTTACTGGAGGCCCTATGTATGCAGTGTTTGTGATAGATGACAGAAATGGAAGGGAAGGAGGCTCCAATGATCTTTTCAGCTGTTTCCACAATTTGTTGCAGGATCTTGCAGTCTGAAGCGATGCAATTCCCAAACCAGACAGTGATACGGCTGGTCAAGGTGCTCTCAATGTTGCTCCTGTAGAAAGTGGTAAGAATGGGTGGGGAAGGTTTGCCCTCCTCAGTTGCCACAGGAAATTGAGACGCTGCTGTGCTTTCTTGTCTAGGGAGGTGGTATTGAGGGACCAAGTGAGGTCATCTGTAATGTGTACACCAAGAAACTTCTAAACTTCAAACTTCTAAACTTCTAAGGCGCTTCTAACTGTCTCCACAGGGGAGACATTGATGTACAGTGGGGAGTGATCAGTGTGGGCCCTCCTGAAGTCAGTGATTATCTCTTTTGTTTTGTTTACATTAAGAGATTATTGTTTGTGCACCAGCCCACTAGTTGCTCCACCTCCTCTCTGTATGGTGACTCAATGTTGTTGCTAATGAGGCCCACCACTGTTGTGTCATCAGCAAAGTTGATGATGCAGTTTGAACTGTACTTGGTAATACAGTCATGAGTCATCAATGTGAACAGCAGTGGGCTGAGCACACAGCCCTGGGGGGTTCTGGTGCTCATTATGATGGTGCTGGAGATCTCATTACCGATCCGGACTGTCTGAGGTCTCTCGGTCAGAAAGTCCAGAATCCAGTTACAGAGGGAGGTGTTAAGGTTCAACAAGCTCAATTTCTACATTTTCTAGTAACACTTTTATCATTTTTTTTCAAAAGTGGCCAGTAGACATTTAAATGAAGAAATGATTTACATTATATTTCTAATATTCTGTTCAAAACTAAAGTTTATATTAGTAATCTAAATATTTACAATTTAATTAACTAAAGCAGAGTTCTGAGTCTTTTAAGAAAGGAATTTTCAGGGCTTTCTAGATAGAAGACAGGAGATACTGATCAGAAGTTGTAGGGGTGTGGAAAAACCTGTCTATCCATGTAGTTTAAAACTGACTCAGTGGCATCCTTTAAGAAATGGCTGATGAGGAATCTTGGATCACTATACTACGAGTTACTGAAAGGAATAAAATGGGCAGAATTACCTCTTCTTGCTTATGTTTCATGTTATGATTTTTTTCTGTTTAAATACCACTCATTATGAAAACTGTATAGGAATGAAAATCCATAAAGAAGGCTTATTGCTTCCGGGAGAAGTGAAGATGAGAAACCTCTTGAGTTCTCTATTTGGGCCTCACTTCCAGAGGATGACACGAAGTTCTCCCACTAGAGCAAAAGTTGTTGGTGAGAGAGAGTCATTCACTTGCTACTCTGAATGTGATGAAATAAGAGGTTGTAGAGGGGAGAACTGGAACCTAAGTGTGGTCCAGTGGTTTGGGAGGGCAATACCTGCAGGCTGCAGAGATGAATCATGCTGTACATCATCTGAGTGACACAGAAGCAGTGGCGGAAGTTGTGAAAAGGGTTGTTCCTGTAGTTGTCATGGATACACAGCTGCAATTAACAAATCAGAGAGGGACATTATTAAGGACATGTGCTGTGCCATAGGGGATCACACTTAAATCAAAATTAAATCAAATCTATCTAGGAAGAATGAGCATTTAGTAAATGTGGAAGCATGTTAAAGTCACAGTAAAATTGACAGACAAAACTTTTGTCACAGTGCTAGACACTGCACGTATTTTTGTAAAGAGAACATAAGCTCGGCCTCCACAGTGCTCAGCACTGCTGCCTTGCAGCCCTGCGGTGCTGGGTTCAATCTGCGTGGAGTTTGTCCCACATGTTCGTCAACAGGTTCTCACTGTGCTCTCGGGGGTTTTCCTCTGCTCTGGTTTCCTCCCAAAGTCCAAGGACATGTTGGTAGTTTAATTTGGTTTCTGTAAAATAGGCTCTGGTGTGAGTGTATTTTGCCTGGCGCACAGTGCTTCCCGGGACAGGCTATGGGCCACTGTGACTGTGAATTGGATATGCAGTTATGGAAAATAATGTGTTGTGAAAAAAACAGGTTTCATCTGCAAGTGTGTCATAAATGCCTGGTAATGATTAAGGAGCTTGGAGTGGCTTTTTAATTTGTTTTTGCTATTGGTTTCTAGTCTGAGAACCTTACTAGCTAGATTCTACTTTAAAATAAACCATGAAGAACTAGCACTAAAAGGAACCTTGCGTGTATCACAATATGAATACTTTATAAATTAATGTCTAGTGTATAGTTAACCTATTGATGTGCAAAAACTGTTTTGAAAGCATTAGTAGTTGTCATTTGTAGTCTGCTGATAATTTTCAGACAGCCTGTGTTCAAGATGCACCATGCTTGGTCTTACCAGCCATCTCTTCAAAGTGATTGGATTAATATTAAAGTCTTTCACCAACGCCAGGTCATGGTACATATGTTCCAAGCAACTCAGCATCTGAAAAAAAAACATAACTCATCACTCATGATATCACTATTCGAAAAACAGTAAGTGCTGAACCTGATGTTTTGTGTTACTTTGAATTGATCCATAGCACAGGCTGCCAGACTATCAAGGCCTTCTCTTCCTGGTTTCAAAGTACAGCATTAGCGTGCAATGTAGATAGCCTAGAAGCACCATCAAAACATGTCTTGGAGATCGTTGATTAACTGATGCAGTAACTATCAGCATATTTTGACCTTTACAGGTAGTAATAAAATAGTTTGTCTTTCCAGTCTAAATTTGTAATGGACAAAAACATGACTCATGACACCTTTGTATCTGCTAGTTTTTATGTTAAATGTGTATTTGTTTTCTGATTTGAAATGTCAGTTGAACTTATAATTTTATTAAACAGATATTTTTTCTTCAGCTTTTTGCTGATTTCAAGTTATTCTTTAAATGTTCCTAGATTTTGGAAACCACCAATTGTTTAGGAACCGAAAATCAACTTGAAAGGTTAAATGAAGCATACTATTATTATAAGTAAGGATTCATTTGGGAATGAAAACCAGTAACCACAGGGATCCCTAGGAGTAGAACAAATCCATATGAGTGCTCTTGGATAGAGGTGGCAGGGGTTGGGTTGGGGTCCTGAGTTAATTTCCCAGGATGCGATATATTTGATGAGTTTGTATGTTTTCCCCATATTTACATGTGTTTCCTTCCAGGTGCTGTGGTTTCAATCTGCAGCACAAGGACTTTCAGGTACTGTAGGTTAAGCAGCTTCTGGGAAAATTGGCCCTGGTGTAAGGTATCAAAGTGTTCAAACCCAGCAAAATGCATGTTTGTGTCTGTGTGTGCCCTGTGATGGACTAGTGTCCCGTCCAGGGTGTACCCTGTGTTGCACCCATTGCTTGCTGGGATAGGCTCTAGCTCTCCCAAGACCCTGATTGGATAAAAGTGTTAGAACATGGAAGAGTGGATGGTTTTCGGAAGCTGCAGAGTTGGCCCTACTGTATCTCTGCATGTGTAGTCTGCATAGGAACAAGTAAAGGTTTATTCCATGCTGAAAAGTGTTTCAGCCGTGGGGTACCTTCCACCTGAAGAAGGCTCCACAGCCGAGACATTGTGTCTCTTTTCTTTTCAGCACGGAATAACCTTGTTCCTTTTTTTTTACTACTCACACATATATCATTGCAGCTGTCCTGTGACTTGTATGGTGCTGTTGTATGACTGAATCTGAATTGCTGCAATTTTGCTTCAGAATGTAATATATTGATGTGAGATTATTCTCAGTCCTGCAGCTAGTTAGACCACTGTACTTAGCATTTCATTATGTGACCCGAATATATTCACTTGTGAGTTTGTGACATTCTTCTATATACTGGGAAATATAAAATACAACAAACAAGTAATGAACAAAATAGAATTTGTTGATTTTTAATACCTCTATAACATGATTTTATTGACTATAAATGGCTTTTCACAATGATTTTAGCAGTTAAATTAATAAGTAAAAATCCATCTGAATCACCAGTGTGATTAATGTATTGTTCTATGTGCCGCATCTGCTATAGACCCTTTACATTCAATGGATTACAAGTCAATTCTTATTCTTTTAAAGTTTTACAGTACTCTACAAATAATTATTTTAACTCAATCACAAAATGTACTAATCAGTTGACCTCTCTACTAAAATGTAACTTAGCAGTAAACCACTGTTCTGCCATCCAGGGGAGAGTAAGATAACCCCTTCAAATACTGTACCTCTCCCATTCTAACTCTACCTTAAAACATCTCTCTTTATTGTAGCGGCGAGGCTTATTAAAGTACAGGAATTAAGATTTCTGCTCCCTTGCCCGTCCCTCTCTCCTTCATCTCAATGGTGCTCAGTGGAAACTTTCAACCAATGAACAACCTCCAGTTCCTCCAGGCAAAACAGGCAACACAGAGCGCCTGCAGAACAGTTCCCAAGGGCAGAACAGTTCCCAGGCGCATGACATTCTCGCAGCACGCCTGCTGGACATTCAGTCTCAGGGCTCCTCCTGAGCATACTCAGACTCAGTCCGGACCACCATGTAACGGCCAGTGTGTCCTAGTGCAGGACTTTCCTTTGTTCTAAGAGGAACAGCATCAGCAGCAAGTCTCGTGAACAGGTCGAAACTGTGGACAGCTAAATCAGTATTCAGGACTAGCGCTTCATCAGGAACGAACCGGTCCTCTTCCTGACCTGCTGGGACCCGCAGTCACTTTTCTCCTGTACACAAACTCTGCTAGTTTCAGCCAACACTAACTAGCCAGTCGTCAGTGAGCATCAGCAGAGCATCACCGCAAGCCGCACCGAGCACTGCCTGGCACCGAGCCAGAGAGTGCCGATTGGACAGCAACAGGCCTGCCACTGCTTCTTTGTGCCTGCAGGAGATCTGAATCCCCAGAGATTGGATGAGAATTCAACACTCTGCATTACCGCTCGAGAATTCAATTGTTACCTCAACCAGAGTTGATATCAATTTATTTCCTAAGAGTGATGTACTTGCTTTTGAGTATCTAGTGTAGAAGTTGTAACTAAGTTCATTTACGAAACGGTCTAAATGAGTGATATACTGAACGTATGTCCCTCTTGGTATTTGTAACTCTTCGTGATTGAATATATACCTTTTGTATTCTGCTACCCTCATGATAAGATCTGTTATGTTTATATGCACATTTTATGTATTAATAAATGTATTTTAGTGTATTAGTACATGTGTGTGTGCGTTGTTTGAGTTATCCCGCAAGGTTGGATTCTAATACCATCAAAAGAATCATTTTGTGACTTACTGCTACAATTAATAATTGTCCCAGTTAAGCACAAAACCCCTACATTTACTGGTGCCTCGTGAGAGGATACCTACACTATGAATGTAAAGGAACTGCTTAATGCAAGAAAGAAAATGTCTCACGAGATCATTTACAGCACAGAACACAACCAGAAAGCATAAGAAAGTCATTGTCCATTGTCCTAGCACTGTGGCTTGTTCTGTGAGCTAGCCAGCACACTTTGTTGTTGCTGTCTCTCCAATACCGCTGCAAATGCCATAGGAGTGAGATGAGTTTATTAGTAAATGGCTACTAAAAAAATGGAGAGTCAGATAAAAAGATGACACATCTCTGTGTAGAAAATAAAGGAAGGCAGCCATTACCTCATTGGGTTCCCACTGCCAGATATCGAAGGTGGGCTTTCGCAGGGCCTCCACCGTCTCCTGGGACAAATGGTACTGCGAATATACAAAGAGCCAGTTTACTCCCAGCTGTGCCCTTACCTCATTGGACTCCCACAGCCAGACGTCAAATGATGGTTTTCTAAGGGCCTCTATGGTCTCTTGAGAAAGCATGTACTGCAGATGACAGAGTTCAGTGTTAATCCATTCCCTTCAAGTTTGAGCTCACATCCTATTCTATGGGCTTCCAAAGAATCTCCTATAAGTAAAGACTTTGAGACATGGTATGATTTTAAAGCTCTACTACATTGAAATAAACAGCTTGTCAATAATTAAAATTCAGTTTTAATTATTGTTCATTTCAGTTGTTAGCACTTCTTGCACTGCTCAAGCCAGCAGTGAGCAGTAGTTCAGCATTATTTACTCTCAGGAAAGATTTTATGAACATTGGGGTCATATCTTTCTAAGACATCAAATAGCAATTTTGAAATAAAGCTAACTGAAAAAATAGTATACAAGATGTGTTTTAGTAGGTTATAGCATATTCAAAATATTACAAATCACAAAAATGTATATACAGTGCTGCTTGAAAGTTAGCGAACCCCAATTTTAGTTCTTTAAATGTTACATTTTTACTATGAAATCCTTGTTTAACCAAACTAGTCCTCACTTTTCTAAACAAAAGGGTTTATTTGCACAAATACTATGTATTTTAGAGGAACTGATGCATGCAATAGAAAACAAAATAGGTCAATAAGAATTAACATGTGCATGTGCAAAATTAAGTGAACCACAAGGTTCATTGGCACACTCAACATGGTAAGTATAAGCAGGTCCTAAAATAATTAGGTTCCAGATTAAATCAAAGAACTAATCACCAGGACAAAGTCTGGGAGGCCCTCTATTATATAAAGGTAACAAATCTAGTGAGTTTGGTCTTACCCATATAGGTTAGTGTAATACACCTTGCCATGATCTAAAGAGACCTCAAATGACCTCAGGAAGAGTGTTGTCTACTCATCAGTCTGGAGAGGGTTATAAAACCAAAATGTTTTGAAATTCATCAGTCTACTGTAGGACAAATACTACACTAGTAAAGAAAAATTATGACCAAGGTGGCTTTACCTAGATGTGGATGTCTTTCAAAAATAATCTCACAGAGCAACAAGAAAACTCATGCAGGATGTCCAAAAGAACCCTAGGACCACATCCTGCAGCTGATGTCCATGTTCATATCTGAACAATACAATACAATACAATTGCAATGGAAGTCATGGAAGGGTAGTTAGGAGAAAACCTTTGCTCTCTAGAAGAACATCCCTGCTCATTGAGGGTAAATTGAATTCAGAGTCACACCAAAATAATCTGGAGGACAACATCAGGTGCTCTGTCCGTGAGTTGTTAAGCCCAAAATGGGTCCTTCGAAATCACAATGACAGCAAACATTCACTCACACCTACCAAAGGATGGACTTCGTATTTTGGAGTGGCCAAATCAAAGTCAAGATTTCAAACCAATAGAAGGACCTGAGACAGGCTGATTATTCAAGACAGCCAACAAATCTGGAACAGTTCTGTTAAGAAGAATGGGCAAAAATTTCTCAAAGCAGAAGTAAGTGACTTATTCGTAACTACAGGAAACATTCGGTTGGTGTCATAGTTGCTTGATATGTGAACACTTGAATTGAATTTTTCACACATTGAGTTTCTGTTAAATAAAGATGATTTATATAATAAATAATTAAACTATATGTATGTATATATGACTGTTATCTTAATTAAATATTTGAGTTCAGATATAAGGATTTCTTAAAGATTATTTGTCTAAGACAATGAAAGATGGAGGGCTCACATACTTTCAAGCAGCTCTGTATATATGTAAACACCAATTTTAAAAATATAAAATATGATGTGTTTTACAGAGAACACTAATTAGGTAAAATCACTAGAAAAGCCGTAATGTTATTGAGTCCCAGTGCAAATTAAAATACTCAATCTGCAATCCAGATATGAGACAACCAGTTCTGATGCTGAGTAAGTATATGGTTACACAAATAGCCACAGAGAATTAATTTCCTGATGTAATATTGTTATTCACTGCCTCATTCTGTTTACTGTAATATTATTATTACTATTATTCTAGTCCTATGAACTACTACGGAAGCACCACGGAGAAAAATGTATTGCGTTTATACAAGATTACAGAAGCTTATATCTCTGTGGCGCTTCTTCAAATTACAGTTAATACACAAATTCCCTCTTTGGATTACAACTACAAAGAAATTGGTCCAAAAGTCTTATATAGACTTCTATATTTTGAAGTGGTTTTTTGGCACAAATAATATAGCTCTAATTTTTATTTCAGAAGTTGAAGGGTGAAGTCCCTGTTTTGCTAAATGCCTCTGCTGTACCTTTTGACCTCTCCCAAAATACGTTTAAGAGTACACATTGTTCCTGTCATACTGAATAGAAACTGATGTCTTGAAGGTGAATCCACTTGATGTTTTGCAAGCTTGTCAGGATGTTGACATTTTAAGACACATTAGAAGTACCAAATGTGGGGAAGAACAATGCTATATTTTTGGAACGCTCTTAATATACCTATATACTTAAAATATACTTTATAAAGGTAATGGCCTTTATTTTCAAAGCAGTATGAAATTATACATAAATGTATAATTCTGCATTTGTTAAACAACTAAAAATGATCTTACCAGACAGCTGTATTTTGACTTATTACAGTTTTTTTCATTACTGTTATTTAAAACCAGAAACCTCAGTTACGTTTTCAAATGATTGCATAATTGTCTCTGTTAGGATGATCTACCGTCTTGCTCATAGACCAGCATGCTGATTTTAAAATCTTAAAGTTTTTATTTATGATCATAAATTACATCTTGCCAGTTCCCAATTTGAAAAACTAAAACATCATGTCAGTATTTATTCACTGGTATGTGGAGAAATTATATATTTAAAACAAATAAAACTAGATTCACCAATTAATTGGTAAATCTAATTTTAATTAATAAATAATAAGTGTGCAGTGCACCAGACGTATACCCTCCAGACTCTGGTCTGAACAACCGTGTTTTTAAAACAGTTACTATTACCCTGCTTTAAGTACAGCTGATATGAATCACTGGAATTTGACATTTTGAACTGAGTATTGTCCCAATAGCAAAATTAAGTTTGAATTTGTGTTAGAACATTCACAAATAGAGGCCATTTTCTTATTCTTATAAAAAAACTAGAAGATGCTGACTGGCTGATTGAGCATGCGTGAAAAACACAGGAGTATCTGCATTCTAATTCTGATCAATCGATCACCATTACACCTAACCTGCTACGCTGAAAATTGTATATTTTTGTCAAGACATTAAACTTAAGTAAAATCAGTAATAAGAACAACAGTGAACACTTAAAAAAACTTTTACATATGTAGTAAGAATCAATTGTGCTATAATATATATTAAATCTGTCAATGGATTTAAAACTGCAAAAATGGATTTAAAACTGCAACTGCATTGGACACTTACTATTTAAGTACAAAAACATTTTCAAAGTTTTTTTTTTATGTGGACAGTGTATTTTCATTAAACACTCAAATAGTAAAACTACCATTTCTGTAAAAAAAACAAGTGAGTCTTTTCTTTAGTTCTTTACTCCTTATTTGAGCTCTGTTTTAAGATACCAAAGCACCATGTCTTGTCCCTCAGAAGGGAACACTTTTCCTTGTTGGCTGAACTTTCCTCACTCAACAACGAAATGGAACCAGAGAGAAGCCTGCAAGACCTGGTGCTCTGACTAAGAAGGAACCCATTGATAGGACCCCACTGAAAACTTACCTTGGGGTAGGAAGGCACATCACGCCGAGGTGTCAGCTTTTTGTTCTCATCTAGGAAGCTGTTTGGAGTAGAGAGTCTTGAGCACAATGTGCATGGGATGGTAAAAACAAAGAAAGAAAGAATAGTACACGAACCAAACAGTCGAGGAAGAGGAGGTCACCCACACAGCAGAGAAATCCTGAGCAACTTATATTTTTAGACTTGTTACATACTGTATACTGTACCAATAGTGTTAGAAACAATACTGAAATTAAATTGAAAGCATAATGAAGCGAAACATATATAAGATATTATAGTAACTCATATTATATTATCTTTTAAAATAAATCAATAGTTTTGCTACATCCTGACAAGATTCTATAGAATTCCATAACGTGAGGGTCTGCTAGCAACTGTGAAAGACAGATGGCAGGCAGCAGCCTTTAGGAAACATAACATCTTCAAAACAACTTCAAATCTAAATGTTAATTCAGAACTTGTCTTCTTTCTTTTTCTTTGGTGTGTGAGCTATCTGAAATGCTGATTTGGCTTTAAACTGTTTGGTTGAGGCATTAACAGCCTGGCTGTAAAAACAAGGCCATCAGTGAAGGAGGTGCTGTATGGGTGATAATGTGTGGATGGTGGGGTACAAAGCTGGTGCTTGTTCTCCAAAAAATGTTAAGATGTGAAACGAAAATAAGCTTCAAGTTAGGGAACTCAAGCTACTCATTACACATTACAGCAGCAGTTTTTACCAGTCTAAGAAAACTCAGACATGTTTTTAAAAAATAACCCTTATTTAAAGATATGGTCAAGTATCCCAGAGGGAGAAGGGCAACACTTCCCAGTCCAGGGGGTTGCCCTCCATGCATTTTTACTGTTCTTCAAGCAAAAAACACAACCTATGAATGAAAACCGGATTCTATCCGTATTCCTTTTTCTTCTGACACATGCATTTGTAGAACTAATTAACTTCACATCCAAAGCCTCCACTGATACACTGACACTGATAACTCCTGCCACACCCCCTGCATTAGAGTGTGGAGCTTCCATATTAGTGTGTAATTTGACACTGTATTATTACATATCATTGAGTGGGATTCCAATCATTTTGGTTTCACCTCACTAGAGGTACTACCTCTGTCCACAGAACAACTTTTCTGAGCATAGACAGAATGTCCAATCAGAAACCAAAACCTTGAGCAGTGACCAGATCTGAAGCTAAAGGACTGCTTGATATGATTACATGAAGCAATGCCAAAAATCACTTCTTTGCTGCTCATTAACATATTTAAGTATTGATTGCTGTGTATCCGATGGATGACCAGGTATTTCAATATACTAGCATGAAAGTTTGCACAATAATGAATGAGTAAGAGGTGTAAATGAATTAGGAACTGAGAACTGCTTAGTTTGATGGACATAATTTTAACAGCTTTAAGAGCATGCAAGGATGTCTAATGCTGTATTTTCAGAATAGAGCCTATGTACCTATACCTACAAGGAATGTGCATTAATGCAACAAGATTTGGGTAAATTCAAAATCCTGTTACACCAAATATGTTTCACCTAAAACATTTTAGGTCAGAAAACAGGATGACATGGGTTATATGACTAGTTGCTAAGGTAACTCTGGCTTTGGGTATCCCTCCATTCACAATGCCTCTTCAAAAGTTCCCTTTCATCTCTTGAACTGCCTATTTACATACAGCAGTCAGGGCTTGCTGAGGAAGTGGCACCTAAGCTCTTGGAGGGAGCAGAGTGGCCTGGGAATTTATTAGTGTGGCATAACTCCCCTTAAATTTACTACTGGGAAAACTATCAGTGTGCTACCAATGCCAAAAGTATGGAATGTTTTACCTGCATTTTCATGTAATTTTCTTTTAATTGACACAATGTACCCAGCAACAGTTTCAAGACGAGACTATGTAAATGGAAACCGAGTATAAGGACATTTAGCACAGAGAATACGCTCTACATCATTACATAATGTGCCAAGAAACCAATTATCAATCCTTGTTGAAGAATCACTGAGATTCTTCCACAAGCCTCTCATGAGAAACATGAATCACTGAGGGGCCCTCTCTCAAACAAAACAGACAGGATTATTTAGTGTGTCTTGCAATTACTTTACACTGTCCCTGTTTAGATAACTAACCACTATAGCATTAAAATATTCTGGAAAGACTTCTAAAGTGTGAAGAAATTAAGGATACGTGCATTGCATGATAAGTTAATTTTCCATTTGTATTTTCATATTATGTTCACTGTTGTGATATTTGTTCAATCTATATCTAGGTTTCTTAATTGAATATGAGAGAAAGAAACAAGAGATACGTTTTGGGTCTGTAAGGAGAGCTTTTCTATTCTAATTATCCATGGCCTCCCAGGGGCTTTCAATAATATTAATCACACAGTCCTTCTTTTCTCTCTCTCTAAACCTGAAATTTTAGACTTTACTCTTGACTGATTCTTTCCTCCTGCCAGATTTCATGCAGCAGCTGTGTCCCACTCCCTCACTTTCCTCTTATCACCACATCTCTTCCTCTTACCTCCAAGACCCTATTATCTTTTCCTAAACATCTTCTATAGAATAAGTAATAGGTTTATTCCATGCTGAAAAAAAGAAGAAAGAGAACACAACGTTTCGCCCGTGGAGCCTTCTTCAGGTGTTTGCAATACATCCTCTCAGCCCCAACACTCTGGGATGTAATAAACATTTCCCTTGTAAATTCGCCTGATTTTCTATCTTCAGCTCACATCAGATTAAAGATATTTTTTCTAACCTATTAGAAACTGTCATGCTAATGTTTGGGACACCACATTATGGAGCTAGGGAGTCTTGACAGTGTTATTCTCAAGACGATACTGCTCAGGCAACACAGGCAGCAGGTGGGTGAGTCAGCATTTCAGATTATAGACTTGTAGTCTTGTCTTGTGTCACCATTTGATTGTCCCTGCTGTACTAGCCACCTTCCATTGCATCAAAATTGAGCTCTCCTGCAGGAAAGACTCCTGTGCCTCCTGTGATACCTGCACTGCTGTCCCAGCATGTAGGTTACAGATGGCACATGAACGTCACTTGGGCATAGTGAAAATCAAACAACAGTGCTTTGGATCTGGTGTGGTGGTCAGGGATAGACAGAGAAATCAAAGGACTTGCCCCTGCACCACCCCCTCCCGAGTCCCTAGATTGGGATAATCTGCAGCTGGACATCTGTGAGGAGTTATATGGCGTCTTACTCCATCAACTCTTCCTCATAATGGCCTATGACTCCATGGGATCAGTCACAAGTCAGGCTGTCATGGTCTACTTGGACTCCCTCTTTGCCTGCTGGGAACTGCCAACCACCATCACCACTAACAATAGGCTGTAGTTTATATTTGAGTTTGAGCCCCTTTTGGCTGACCAGGGCACTCATTCTACAACCCAAAGGCAAACTGAAGAGTGAAATGGCTGAACCAGTAACTAAAAATTGTAACCAATGTCAATCTGGCTGAGGGCTCCTTTTTAGCCATGCTCCTCTGACTCTGGTTCAATACAGGGCCAGACAGCAAACCACAGGTAGTGGCTCACTAGCCTTCATCATGCTAGGGCACAAGCTACAACTTCCTCTGGACAGACTCTGGACACTCAAACGTCTCCTATGTACATAGTGGCAGAATGCCAGCACTAGATGAAAAGGCTTTATGATTAATAACACAAGGTAAAGACACCTGGAATCGCCATCTTCGATTGGGTCCAGATCTGTTTACCCTATCGCAAGCACAAGCTTCGGTCTTTTTGGTCTTTTCCTGTGCAGGTCACAAAGAAACTAAGCCCAGCTACCTTCCACCTCTCTGACAGGTTACAATGACGGTTGCCTCTGAAAGGTGGCAGTGCTTACTCGCCCTGGCACTGAGGCTAACACTACTCCTGCTGGACTGCCAGGCAATGAGGACTTCCCAATAAGGAGGTCCAGAAAATAAATAATCAGTTTTGAATGAGGCTGGAAAGAACTGTGTTTTTTGTTTTTGCTCACCTGCTTGTTTAATGGTTGTTCTTCCTCTTCACTCTTCTGTCTGTTCAGCTGATTTTCTTCTTTGGTGGAACAGAAAACACTCTGACACCTCCTCAAAACCCATCCTGCTCTGTCTGTCCCTTCTACAGTAATTATTTCTTGTGATCCTGGACCTCATATCCCCTAGTATATAACTTTTAAATGGTATTGTATTATATCTTTAAACTATAAAGTAATTTGTGCAGCTCTGAATGAAGAAAAGTGCATGTGTTTAATAATATTTTTGATTTCAATTTTGCATTTTAAAAACATCCAATCTAAACAGAACATCCCAGCCTTGTACCCCCTGCCTTCATTGTTTGTAATGTAGGGTTGCCGAACTGAAGGTTTAGTCCTAGAAGTTGAGAGTTTCGCTAGCCACCTTCCAAAGACATTTAATGTACTGTAATTGACAAATACCATTCTAATTATACAAAATAGTGTATTTTAGTTAAAATATTTTGCTCGTTATTAAAAAGTAAATGGAATATTTTATATAAAACTAGGAAGATGAATGATCTTTTATAAACCAACATGGTTATACTGTACAGTATTTAGACAAACACCTTATTTAAGGATCTTTTGTAAAATAATTACCCTACAAAGTACAAGAAAAGTTTTGGAGTTGTTTTACTTTTTTCGATCACATTTCTAGTAGACACTGCCCAGCTCTTAAGAACAGTGAGAATGTGTCTAATTTAAAAAAATAGTTTCAGTTGCTTTTTAGTATAATGAACACATCAGTAAGTGAGAGCTAAGATCACATACTGTACATCTGTTACAGTAGATTTTTATGAGCAACAAAATTATAGCAGTACTTTCCATGGTTTGCTTAAGTAACAAGAATATAAAAAAATATTTAAGTAAGAGCAAGGAAATTAGACTTCATAAAAGATCAACATGAGAAAGCACCTCTTGTTGCATAGCCAATTGAGTTTACACAACTCCAGCACTTATTGTGCTGAAGTTTAGCTAACTCTGACATCCACACAGCCACCTGGGGATTAGACAGTCATTCACATACAGTATCCGTGATCGTGAAGTGGAAGAGACACCTTTAAAGACTGCAGTCAGTGAAGAGGGACTCACCTGTTGTTTCTGGAAGCCATTTCATCACGAAGCTTCTTGATGTCGCTTCTGCACTTCTCTATTTCCACCACCTTCAGTCCCTCCACTGCAAGAGATTAAACAGAAAGGTTACCAGGGAACAGTGAGGATGATGGGTAAGGTTTCGCTACAGGGAAATTGTGTGAAACATACAGTAGTGATGCTGACATTGCACCACGCCAGGTATGCCCCCAAACCTGTTCCCTGGGCTGCTTCTCTTTCAAACAATAGGAAACCTACAAAGGAGGAGCCACCAGTGAAAAAGGCAGGGGTTAGATTTCTTTCTGAAGAGCAAGTATTATTCTAAAAAAATTACCATGGCAGATAACAAAGTAAAAATAACCCTCCTAATGCTGCCTCCTTTTACTGTGTTCTTCTCACAACAGCCTCTTTCTCAAACTGTTCAGCCTAACTTAGAAACACTGAGTTTTTGGAGGCAGAGTTATGATTTACAGTACAAGACCTGCCTGGAGGTCATACAAAAAAGTTATGATTATGTTTTTGTAACTATCCTTTAATCAAAAGAAGATGACACAAAGCTTAAGATGCCTAAAGATTAGAAACCGTTCAGCTAGTTTTTAGGGTCCAGCAGGGAAAATGCACAAAATAGCAATGTTTTCTTCTGTGAAGATGGTAAAAAGGCAGGAATGAAAGCTAATAAGTCTAGGTCCTGTCAGAGTGTGGGGTAAAGTGACTAATTTACAAATCAAATTCATTTTAAGAATGATCAAGAGAAAAGCATATTCCTTATAAGAATTTCCCATGGTGAATGGATTGTATTTGACTGCTAAAATGTACTTTTATACATGGAATCTATGTTTCCAAGGGATGTGTACAATAGTACACCATGATATTCCAATAGTCCAGAGTAGTTACACATAGCAAAAGTATATTAAAGCCCTAAGAAACCACAACATAAGTATAAATAAGGCACAAGCATTCCTAAAACAAAAGACTTAATGAAAACTGGAGAGGAAATAGTTCCCTACAAGTTCTGAACAATGCACCTTAACTGCAATACAAAGAAATAAGTAATAGGTTTATTCCATGCTGAAATGAAGAAGAAAGAAAACACAACGTTTCGGCCGTGGAGCCTTCTTCAGGTTTATTCCTTTTTTTCAGCATAGAATAAACCTATTACTTGTTCCTTTGCACTTCTAGTAAACAACACCGCTCCTGCCAATCAGCCAACCACGACACTCCATCAATTAGCGCACCTTCTCCCTCGCACAATACTTAAACCCTCCAGAAGCCTCTGTTCCTTGCCCAGTATTGGTTGTTCTTTGGAGCTTCTACCTTGCCTTAGTTTCTGTATCCTACTTGCTCTTCGTTATGAACCTTGGAACTTTCCTTCGACCTTGTCTACTGTCTTGCCCTTTTGGATTGGAAGCCCTCTCGTTGACCTTCACCTTTTGTATCACGGAACTGTCTTTTGACTGTGACTTCAGCCTTGCCCTCTTCTGGATTGGAAACCTACTCACCTACTGTACCTTTTGTTACTAACCTCGGAACTGGACTCGGACCTCGCCTCTCGCCTAGCCCTCCTAAGGTACCGCATAGGGTTCATCTTCCTGTTTTCTCAGCGGGTCATTTGTGACACCGATAATATCTCTGCTACTCTTAAATCTTACTATATTTTGGATTTTAGATTAGTAGAGATTTATTAAAGTAGTTCAAGAATGTAATTTATTGAAGACAATTTAATGGAGCCTTTCAGGGTTTTGATATGGTGGCAGATGACTTCTACAGTAAAATCATGTTATCCTGTAATATCACAGTTTCAGTCTAATGAGGCCTTTCAGCTTAAATGTCAAATGGCAAATGGGAATCACTTTACATTAGCTGCAGCTTGGGTACAAAATTGCTTATGAAGCAAAAGTTTGGGATGAAGGCAGCTGAACTAATCAACCTCAGCTGTCTCCACTCCAAACTAATTCTGATGTAATTGCCTCAGTTCCCATATATACCACATGTCACCCCCTCCTCCACCCCATCTCCACCTTTGCAGCTGCACCTTGGATGCCTTTACACCAAGCCTGGTGGGTTCCAGCCTTCCTGTCCATTGGCTAGGAGGTTGGCCCTCAGCCAAGCAGGTTAAGCCAAAGTTTTCACAGATTCACTAAATGATTCTTCTGCCACACAATGTTTGTCTGCTGTTGTTTCTTGTGAACTACAAAAAAAATAAAAAATTGTTTTTTTTTTAAACAGGCTCCCTGTGAGTACAGTAGGTGACTTATGCAACACTAAGCGACCTTGAATCTTGCAAGGTCAGTTAAGGAGGATCTTAAAACAATGGAGCACATGATTCATCAGTTACAAAACCTTTATCAACATCTTTAACTCGAGGACACAAAGCAGCAAATCACATCTAAAATATCTTTGCCTGATGAACAAGGTTCATATCAGTTTGGTCCTCTCTCTTCCCTGAACCTGATGAGCTATTGATGGATTTGAACAGAGCTGTAAAATATAGTAACTCCAAAATGGATTTAAAAATAGTAATTTGAAAAATTGGCAGAATGTTAAAAAAAGATATTATAATAATAAAAGTGAGACTTTTATCATAGCAAGGAAAAAAGCAATAACCACAAATAACTGCTGAGAT